GGAGTAGGTTTTACCTCATATAACTTCAGGTTGCAAAAAGTCTCTCCCCAAAATAATAGCCAACTACTTCTTGTATCTTGAAATTTTGTTTTAAGAGTTTCATTGCATTTCTTTAAAGCATTTATCCCTGCTAAAACGCAAGATTTAGAACAGAAAAACATGTTCTTTATTTAAACACTTAACTCAATACATTTTTAGTCTTTTTCTTGAAAATACATACTTACGGGTAAATCTATAAAAGACACCAGGCTCCTAAATAGAGAAAAAAAAAATCACCAAAAATCTAAAAGGCTTTTTTAAGCTCTCAAATAAAACTCTTAAACTTCAACTTCCGAGAATTACAGAGAGGAAGTTACTTTAATTTACCTACTAATCCAGAGAAAGCAATAGCATTCCCATTATCTAGAAAAGAATATTGTATTTTGTTTACACTGGCAACCACTGTCATTCTATTAAGAAAGTAGTTTTTAACACAAGAGCAGAAAATCAAACACCGCATGTTCTCACTCATAGGTGGGTGTTGAACAATGAGAACACACGGACAAAGGGAGGGGAGCATCACACACTGGGGTCTGTTGGGGGGAAATGGGGGAGGGACAGTGGGGGGAGGGGAGTTGGGGAGAGAGCATGGGGAGAAGTGCTAGATGTGGGTGATGGGGAGGAAGGCAGCAGATCACACTGCCACGTGTGTGCTTATGCAACAATCTTGCATGTTCTTCACATGTACCCAAAACCTAAAATGCAATAAAATAAAAAATAAATAAAAAATAAAAAAATAAAATAAATAAATAAAAAGAAAGTAGTTTTGTCCTGTTTTGACAATCTTGTGCTATTTTGACAATTAGTGCACTAGAAATATTTGTGAATTATGTAAATTTAAATTATATGGCTTTGAAAGTTTATGATGTGAAAGTATATTTTTATAATCTCACTCTTGTATGTAATTTTGGTTAATGAAAATATTTCCCCCAATGTTTTAACTGACTGAAAATTTACAGTTGTCATAGTTTTAAAGCGGGCAAGCTGAGTGCATTATCAGTTATTTATGCTATGGCTACATGAGGGCTATACTTTTATAGTAATACATGTAATCTTTTAACAACATAGCTCCTAACTAAAATAGTTTTAAGCTGAGATTTTCAAGAATACATCTTGCGCAATAAGGGTACCCTACCTATAAAAGGAATAGTAGTAAAAGCTATCTGTACATGACTTAATACTGTGCAACTATCACAGATATTTTCCGGGGACTGACATAATTCTAAAACACCTATTGTAGCTTGTGTGAATTTTTTAAAATAGGGAAAATATATTATCATTAAAGACATCCTATGTAGAAAATACACATATAGATGCAAACACACAAGCTATGAACAGTATGTTTTTAGATTTGTGTGTGTAATTGATTTATAGTTCAACTTGTTTCTATCTCAGGAAATGTTTCTTAATTCAACTTGTTTCTATCTCAGGAAATGTTTCTTAATTTTCTTTAATGAGCACAGGTTATTTTACATTAAACTACCATGAATTAAAATACTACCTAAACTATTTGACATTTTAGGAGACATTGATTCTTGATTCCATAAAAATCTGCCCTTCAAATAAATAGTAGATTATATGATAGTAAAACATCTGGTACAATCTTCATATTTTAATACAGTTTAAAAGTCCGTTTCATTTACAACTTACTGAACCCTTGCTTTGTGGATCTTGAACCCGGATAATCTGATACACTGTAGCAATGTAGAAGTGAAGAGTAATACAAAACTTATAAAAGGGAAACTGACCCAGGAAGTTTACATATTTATAACACAATGTGTTAACTGCTATATAGTGGCATGAACAAAATATAATAAAAAGTATGGTAAATAGATAGAAAGTGACTAATTCTTCAGGTATTAAAAAAAAGTATATCAAAGAGGATATATAGGAATGCATTTAGAGTAAGGAGGGATAAGGTGCTTGACTGATACACAAAGTCTTCAGCAAAGCAGATTCTAGTTATGTCTGGGAGGATTAAACAAGGGCCATCCAAGCTTCCGGCGTCGGGTCAGAAGGAAAAGCAGCCCCTCTGTGTGGGAAGGAAAGTGCTACTATAGAAAAAGCCATGCCAGAAGTAAAGACAGTGCTCATGGTGAAATAGCTGCAGGTAAGGCATGCTGTGTGGCTTCAGGTTAGGTGTCTCGGTGGGAATGGCTGGAGAGGCGGCGATGGTGGAGGGCCAATTCAGGACTTAACCGAAAGTAATGTGGGACTTGTAATGATAACTACACATTAAGTTATGAAGACATTGACTTTTTTGCAATGGGAGGTTCTCATCAGCGAAAATTCAAGATTTAAGATTTAGTCTTCAGAAAGTAGCTCTAATAATCTTAGAAAGATTAGCTAGGTTATGGCAACACCAATGGCAGACAGCCAGTCAGTGACAGTTGTGAGAGTCCAAACAAAAGATGATTATATCTTGAACAAAGAAAGAGACAGTTTTGGAGTTAAACAGAAGTCAATTTTTTTTTTTTTTTTTGAGACGGAGTTTCACTCTTGTTACCCAGGCTGGAGTGCAATGGCGCAATCTTGGCTCACTGCAACCTCCACCTCCTGGGTTCAAGCAATTCTCCTGCCTCAGCCTCTCGAGTAGCTGGGACTACAGGCTTCACCACCATGCCCAGCTAATTTTTGTATTTTTAATAGCAACGGGGTTTCACCATGTTGACCAGGTGGTCTCGATTTCTTGACCTCGCGATCCACCCGCCTCGGCCTCCCAAAGTGCTGGGATTATAGGCGTAAGCCACCGCTCCTGGCCTCAGAAGTCAATTTTTAAATGACGGAGCTAACAAAGTAGGTGAAAAGATTAGAATTAGAGGGGAAAAGTGTTTTAAGATAATTAAGCAGAGACCTGAATGAAGTGAGGATGTCTACCATGCGTGGGAAAATCATTCTGGGCAAGAGGAACAGCAGGTAATATCTTTAAGGTATGTTTTGATGTAGAGCGTAATATAAGGAGGGAATGAGAATGGGGAAATGACAAGAATGAGGGAATAAAAATAAGTCCAAAATATCTAGCCTAAACACCTGGAAAGACAGAATTGCCATTTACTATAAGGAAGTGTAGGGCAAGAGGAAAGAAATCAAGATTACATGTTTGGGCACACTAAGAATAAGACATCTTTTAAATTCTTAAGCAGATATGTCAAGTAGGAAGCAGTATTTATGAAACTTTAGATAAGAAGAAGGGGTAGGGCTGGGTGCAGTTGCTCATGCCTGTAGGCAGGCAGATATTACTTGAGCCCAGAAGTTCAAGACCAGCCTGGGCAACATGGCAAAACCCCATCTCTACTAGAAGTATAAAAAACTTAACCAGGCATGGTGGGGCAGGTTGTCCCAGCTACTTGGAAGGCTTAGGTGGGAGGGTCACCTGAGCTTGGAAAATTAAGGCTGCGGTGAGCTGAGCTTGTGCCACTGCACTCCAACATGAGCAATGAGAGTGAGACCCTGTCTCAAAAGAAAGAAAGAGAAAGAGAGGGAGGAAGGAAGGGAGGGAGGGAGGGAGGGAAGTAGGGAAGGAAGGAAGGAAGGAAGGAAGGAAGGAAGGAAGGAAGGGAGGGAGGGAGGAAAAAAGGAAGGAAAGAAAGAAAAAGAAAGGCCTAAAGATACGAATCAAACCATCAATGTAGAGATCACACTTAAAACCATGAGCTATAATGGGATCGGCATTTCCCAATCTTATAAATCCTGTGATAGCCAAACAGCAAGTCTTTTTTAAAAAAAATTTTTAGCATCTGACACCCATATTTGCATATACATATGAATAGAATTATGAAATAGGTTAAAAATAAAGACTTTTAAAATTAATGTGTGAATAAATGAAACTAGGAGAGAGTCAATAATCTGGAAGAATGAGATTAACGAAGTTGAACTCTAAAGGAACCTGAAAACACAAAGAGAAAGTTTGTATAGACAGATGACAACAGAGTGTTGTCATCAGTAATTGACATTTTTTCCAAAGTACAATAGCTCGGTATGATGACCGATACCAATTTTGACATGAATCGTCATTTCCCTTAAAGCATGTCAAAATTTCCCGTTGACACCTAAGCAGCAGAAAGGACGACCATTAGCTAGGTGACCTTCTATGACAGCAACGAGGAAGTCATTAGATGACATCAACAGGAATAAATTTTCTGAAACTAATGGCATCTAAAATAATAATTTCTCTCTTTTGAATTAAAATGCAAGAAAAAATGTTTTGTCGGAGTTGTGAATCCCGAAGTTACTTATTTCCCTTTTCAAGCCATGTGGAAGATGAGAGGTCTCCACCGTAGAGACCTAGAGGGAGAGAGAGGCAACTTCAGGGCAAAAAAAGTGGTGGCGTATTTTGCGAGATAAATGGGGCATAGACAAACATCTTCAAAAGAGGATGAATTTTACTGACAGCACAGTAACATGAGTTTGACAAGGTCCATCAGGCTGCGAACCAACTTGGGGAAAGGACACAGGTGGATAAGAATATGAGAGTGGCAGAATGCAGCTGATTGCAGGTGATTCCACTGCGGGTTAAGGGAATAAGAAGATTGGTTGTTGAGGGATACACAGAAAAGGCAGACATTGAATAAGTATGTGTGCAGCACCTGTGAGGAATTGTACTAGCAGTTAAGTGATCTGCTTCCTCTGTCTTTCTTTCCTTTCTTTAATGAAGTCATTAGGCTGCCTGAGCACGTGTTGTGATAATGAGTAAGAGGAGAAAGAGAAAGCAGGGTTGGAAGTACAAAAGAAAGACAGGAAGTTCTTTTACGGAACCCTTTCTTGGCAGTATAACTTAATAAGCTCAACCTGGTAACCCTGGAATCCAAAACGTCTTACCTACAATGTGCGTGTAACTCCTCATCACAGATGGTAGTAACCTCGTGCTTTTGGAGTCACGTAAGTTAATGAATGTGGGAAGAAAGCTGTGATGACACAGAAGTTAATTACTTTCTTTACATCATCTTTCTTTCTTTGTTCAGTGACGTTTCAAGTTGTATCTCTGGATGATCATTTGAAGCCAGCTGATGAAATGGTAAGTTACAGCTAGAAATATGTAGATATTTGTGCATGGTTTTGCTTCTTCAAATTGATCCATGAAAACGAGGCAGGCCAGTCTAAGTCATTAGTTCTACATTCTTATTAGCCTATGTGTTCCTCCATTACCATCAAACTTTTTCCTTTTTCCTTCTTTCTCACTCCCTCTTTCTTTGGTCAACACAATTAAACATATTTCCTAATCACAAGTAAAAGTCTATAATGTACTGAATCCTTACTGCTTATAAAGCAGTGTGCTAAGTAAGCCAAGAGTCAAAGATACAGAAGATGCTCTCTCAGTCCCGAGAATGATTACATTAGAACAGAGGTTGTAGGAGAAGAACACAAATGAGGCAACATGCATCACTATGTTGCTGACATCTGGAATAGGATACAACAGATAGTAGGCTCTTAATAGTATACCATTATTAAATTATGTATTGAGTGAATGAGCAATGTTATATAGAGTGAATGTTTTATTTATGTATATATTTTAGAGATGGAGTGTTGCTCTGTTGCCCAGACTGGAGTGCTGGTGTGATTATAAGTCACCAGCCTCAACCTCCAGGCTCAAGCGATCCTCCTGCCTCAGCCCCCCAAGTAGCTTGGACTACCAGCATCACCATCATGCCCAGCTAATTTTTTTTTTTTTTTTTTTTTTTGTGGAGACGAGGTTTTGCTATGTTGCCCAGGCTATTCTCAAACTGCTGACCTCAAGTAATACTCCTGCCTTGGCCTCCCAAAGAGCTGACTTTAAAGGCATGAGCCAGTGAGCCAAAGCACAATATTTTATAAGGACCGAAAGAGTGAATTATATAACCAGTGAATGAAAGCATTGTGGCTGCTTTGTATTTGGAGTTACCAGGAGAGGTATTATCTTAGGTCAACTTCTCCAGAATCAGATTCTGAGAGAGGGAAAGATGGACAACTGAATTATTAAGGAAGTGCTGCCAGGAAAAACCAGTACGAGAGTGGAGAGGAGCAGGAGAAGGGAGGGAAGCAGCCAAGCGTGGGTGCCATTGATTTTGGACAAAGTCTGCAGCCTGACTGGCAGGAAGCTCTGGAGCATATGTTACACTTCAGAGTTTGTTCCACTTTAGGAACTAAAGCTGGGCTATTGTACTCCAGCATTGGGTAGTTATTGGCTCTGGGTATCCCCTAACATAGAAGCAAACCCCTGGGAACTTGACAGAAGGTCCCAAAAGAGGCCTCTCAAAAAAATCAGAGGTGAAAGCTGTTAGGAGTACAACACAGGGGAGCCAGGGGTGGTGGCAAAGAGCCATAAAAAGGGATCTAAAGGGGGAAGCGCTGGCCATGCCTGATACAGATGTCACGGGGCAGGTGAAATCAAGGCACTCCTCAGAGAACAGAGATGATCAAATGTAGGCAGAGAAAAGCTGTTAGTGAAGGCATGTGGGTAGAGAATCAGGATTTAGAGAATAGTCATAACCCAGCTTTGCTGAAACGTAAAACAAACATAGAAAGTCATGGTGGAAAACAGTTTGGAAAGGAAGCTTGGTGCCATGTTGTGAAGGCACTTGAGTTACAATTGGTCATAGAGGAGCAGCTTGTGCGTAAAGAAATAACTTGACTGGGGATGTGTTTCAGGACCCCATCCAATTTTTCCAGATATTACTCTTTATTTACACCGGCATAGTAAAGGGGGAAGTGTTGCTACCCATTAGGGAAAGTGACTCTGCCTCACTTTCCCTAATGGGAAATTCAGAGAAGTTATCTCATAGATGCTGATGTACAGTTAAGGAACGAAATACATAGCGGGAACATGGTGATGGTAGTCTGACATACGCAGGAGACTGCAATCCTGCTAGAGACGATCTGAGAACAAGTGTGATTAATAGTGAAAATGTCAAAAGACAACGAATCATGACCCGGGAACGACTGAGGTCTTTACAACAGGATACTTAACAAATTTTATTTTGTGTACTTTAGAAACCTGTTAGAACTAAGCATTCTTTTGCAGCCTCTCAGGTCAATCTGTCAACTAAGTGCAGTTACGAAGAAGCTTTGTAAGCTTACAGAAGCTGTGCAAATGGCTTCTCCATTACTGCCTTTTCCTCCTCCAAATTGTACTTCATCTTAACATATTTAAGACATCATCACTTTTAATCCAGCTCGTTTCCCTGTCTCCTATAGTTATGCTACATTCACTAGATTGTTGCTTAGTTTTAATTCCCAGAGCAGGGATCTAATTTTTAGTGCTCCAAAGACCTTGTATTAATCTGAATCCTAAATCACTTCCAAATGATAGCATGTGCTTCCTGTTCTCCTTGGTTTATGGAGAATTTCTACTGCAATCCTTTGACAAAGGGCTTCTTGGAAATAACAGCAGCTGCGACATTATATAACTCCCTTATTAGTTCTCACCCCCCCATCGTTACTTACTATTGTCAATTAGACCAAATATGATTATCCAACTCCCTGCTTTAGTAATAACGACATTTGCATAAGAACAACAGGATGACTGAGCTGTTCCTTCAAATACGGGTCATAGATAAGAAGATCATTTGTACCAAGTGTTTAAGGCAAGGAGTTTCCATGGCACAGCAAACTGCATGTGCTTATGTAATAGAGACAGAAATTGATGTAGCATTTCCAAAAATGATGGTAGCTAAGAGATTATGTGGTTTTATCTTTCCAAGCGAGTGTTTCTAATTGCTGGACATTATCCAGTTTGGTATTCCATTTAAGTAAATATATTCAATGCATGACTGGCCTGTGAGGTTTGGGCATTCATAATAAATTTGACTACATAATCAAAATATAGTAATGATGCTTGGCTCATTATGAAATGAGCCAAGCTATAAAGCATATACCTAGTTTCTTCTGCCCATCAGTCTTTTCTTTCCTTTTCTGCAATTTCTTTACTGATGGTACCTTTCTTTCCCTTTCGGTCAGTATTTTGTAGAATATTGAGACATTTTTTTTCCAGACAGTTTTACTTGCATCGAGAAGTTTCAAATCTTTCTTTAAACTTATCTTAAGACCTGGAACTACTTGTCCGCTAAAAAGAGGCCCTGTCTATGGACAGAGAGACATAGTATGAATCAGAAGGGGACATGAAGGAATTGTATTATTGGTTCTTGGCTGGTTCATACACAATTTAGTGCGGACAGTCATTAGTGACGAGAGCAGAATCAGCCTCATTTTAATAATTATTTTTGGGGAAAAATCAAGCAGCTTAGAACAATGAACATGTGGTTTTAGTAGGTTCTTGTTCAGTAGTTTTTTTAAATAGACCAAGCTCAGTAAAATTACCAACAACAAGACAAATTAAGTAATAAAAAATTTGTTGGACACAGTTGAAGCCACCTGCATTGGAAGTATAACAAATAGAAAACAAAAAGGGACAGTACTCTAACTTCATTTCTCATTATTAGAGTCTTATCCAAATGGCTAATGTGTTCCCATGGCACCTTTAGGTAATATATTCTTTATTTCCTTCTCATGAGGAAATCTTATGAGAAGCTCTACTTCTCTTAATGCTTGAGTTAATGATGCAGCAGTAGCTTTCTTCAATACCATCTCAATAATTCACTGAGATTCAATTCCATGAATTTAGAACAACAAATGGGGCCCTTCATTCAACTGTTTTATTTCTCAGTTCTAAGAATTCTGGACAAAGTTGATGAATCATGTTCCTATCTCCAGACACATTATGTTTTATTGGTGACTAAATGCTGCAGTTAGTGGGAAGGAGCACTAAGCCACTTGGGGAACGGGCAAAGGACCCTACATACTCATTTGTAAGCTTCTCATCAGCCTATTCACATGAGGGCTTTTGGCCTAGGAGTCTTTAATTTCGACTTGTTAGTTTTAGGGTCCTGAGAGGATGCGCTAAGAAATGAAAGTCAAACTGTTGACTCTGTAGGTGTAGAGAGGGGAAGAGTGGCAAACACCGGAGAGAACTGAGAGGGTATAAAGAGTTAGAAGGAGAAGGAAGGAGAGAAGACTCAGCAAGGGGAACTTGGGCAAATGCCAACATTTAGTTACTTGTCCAATAAGGAAATGGTGGAGTATAGGAATGGTCAAAAATCTAAGACAAAAAAATTAGTGCTAGATATAGAAATCAAAATTGGAGTATTTAAAAAGAGGCAACCAGCAGTGAAGAACGTAGCAGTTGCCAGAGTGAAGACTGACCATGAATTTGTTGATAAAGAAGTTATTATTCATCTAAGAGAGCATTTTGATTATGTGCGAGAGACCTAAGGCCAGGGTTGCATACTGACCCTGCAGACTGTGTGTTATAAAAGAGAGAAAAGTAAATGAAAATTCTTGAAACCTAGGCAAATAAGTTTCAATATAATCAATAGATATTCAAACTTTCAGTCAGAAACCAGTGTTTGTTTGGGTTGTCCTAAATGTGTTTATATTTCTTAGCTTAATAATAGATTTGTAATTAATCTCTTCACTCATCTAGAAAAAAAAAACCCATGAGTTCATATAATAACATTATTTTTATTTTTATTTCAGTACCCAGTGATCACCCTTAAGGTAAGCTAGTTGAAGAATTGTTTTCTAATTTTTTGAACATCTCTCCAAACCTCAAAATCAAAAGGCAGCTCATAGGGAAGATTGCCCGTTTAAATTGTCACAGAATTATTTATTTCATGTAGACAGCCTCAAGAGGACAGAAGTGGGTTTCTGCCCTCCCCACCCCACCACCATGTGACTCATATTTGCATCCACCCACTAATATAGACAATAGGCAAATATGAATTTATTTCATTTAATGCTTAGTTATTGAATGTGTATAAATGTATACTTAATGATTTATGCACTGGGGATACAATATGGCTTGCCCTTAAGAAAGCAGAGATTGACAGAAAAAAATAAATGTAAAAAAATCACAGCTAGCTCTAAAATATACTAAGTGCTGTAATATGCAGCTGTGTGACCCCAGAGAGAAGAGTAACCAACTCTCCTCGGGGAATGTGAGAACACACTCATGTTTTGATCCTAAGTAAGTTTAGAATTCTAAGTAGGAAACACCCTGCTGAAACTTTGTAATGAATAAAAACATCCAGCGTGAAACAGAATACATTTTCTTATTCTTAGGATCCAGAAGGCAATCGAATACAACAGTGGATGAATGAGGAGTCTGTGGGAGGTATTCTACAGCTCTCCTTCCAGCTAATCTCAGAGCCCATCCTTGGACAGTATCAAATCACTGCAGAGACGCTTAATGAGAAGAAAACGTATCACTTCTTCTCTGTGGAAGAATATGGTAAATAACAGCAATGAAAATGTTACCTATTGGTATAAAATTACAAAATCATTCCAATTTTGCAAGGGCGGGATTATTAAATAATGTATTCTTAAGGGAGTATCTCTTCCTTTCCTCTTTCCCTGTTCTCTGTTACTATTTTAGGGTTCTCCATCTACTCTGATTTTTATCCCCTAGTGCAGCCCATGGTCTTTTTTGCAATTCTCCATTAACCTAGGCGATCTATTTTATCTTCCTTTTGTGGTATCTGGAATCTATTTTACATGATGGTTTCTGGGATGTAAAGCACTTTTTTACAAAAAGAATGGAATTAACATTAGTCATTAGTCATATGTTAGCCATTAGTCCCTTTATATTTTCCCATAAAATCTTCATGAAATTTCTATCGTAGTGTCATTATTCCCGTTTTACAGATGAAGATATTGAGAAACAGTTTCTCAAGTTCAACACCTGAGAAGTGATGAATTTGAAATTCAAAATATGCATTTTTCTATCCAATTCCAAAATCCAGTTCTTATGTGCTTCAGTGCCCTCCTCACACTGTTCGTTAATGGCAAACATAAACGACGGTCGATGGTTTATAAAGGAGAAACAGTTATTTTGTATGAATGTATTTATGTTAATAATATGTAATATATACATTATCACACATAATATAATATATAACTTTTCTTTTTACTGGCAGTGTTACCCAAATTTCAAATGACTGTGGATGCACCAGGAAGTATCTTGGTTGTGGACCCTGAATTCAAAGTTAACGTCTGTGCCTCGTAAGTTGAAATCGTACACAATAGAATGATACATTCATAGAAAGCTATTAGAACGGGATAGATAACTAAAAAGAGGTAAAATATAAATGTATAGAAGGTAAGGAAAAAGGAAGGCGTGAAATTATTTTGCTGGTTTTATAAATTCTTTCATGCATCAGTAATTATTTTAATAAAACACATGGTTTTAGGTAACAGTTTAAGACAACTGACTACTGTCTTTCTTACATACTGTTTTAGACCAGCCGATAGCCACTGACCACATGTGAGTATTTAAGTTTCAGTTAAAATTAAATATTCAATTGCACTAGCCACATTTCAAGTTGTCACATGTGACTAGTGGCCACTGAATTGAAGAGCACTGACACAAAACATGGAACATTCCATCTGCCAGAAAGTTCCATTGGACAATGTCCTGTGTTTACAATGACTTCTCCCAATTCAATCTTTATATTTTACATGATTATAGAAGAAAACTGAAGCTCAAGACATATCATGGAGAAAACTGCTGTATGAGTTAGAAGTGGCAGTGTGGGCGCAGTGGCTCACGCCTGTAATCTCAGCACTTTGGGAGGCCGAGGCGGGTGGATCACGAGGTCAAGAGATCGAGACCATCCTGGTCAACATGGTGAAACCCCGTCTCTACTAAAACTACAAAACATTAGCTGGGCATGGTGGTGCGTGCCTGTAATCCCAGCCACTCAGGAGGCTGAGGCAGGAGAATTGCCTGAACCCGGGAGGCGGAGGTTGCGGTGAGCCGAGATCGCGCCATTGCACTCCAGCCTGGGTAACAAGAGTGAAACTCCGTCTCAAAAAAAAAAAAAAGAGTTAGAAGTGGCTCTACTGTAATGCTGGTGCATGGTGTGGAGGATACTAAGGGCAGACAGGGACTTAGGGGCAAATAGTGAGAAATAACATGTGGCCGGAGCAGCAGCCAGGCAGGTCACGTTGCTTTCCCCTCTTCTTGTCACTAAGTTAAGCAGCATAGACAGGAGTTTATGTAACCAGCAATTACAGCCAGGGTGCAAACATAAAACTTTGTTTCCTCAGACCTGATGTGAGGATTCATTCTTTCCCTGACTCTTGTGTACTACTTTTCCTTTTGATTTTGCAAAGTTAAAAATAAAAAGTGACCTGGTGTAGGGAACCAGCCCCCACACCCCACCCATGGGTACCCTGAGTTCAGTGGTGACAAAGGAATGAGAAAAAGACAGATTAAGAATGAAAGTGGGATGAGAGGACCATCACTTCGTAGTGGAGGCAGTGAAGGCCCCCAGCTTAGGTTACCCACAGTATTTATTGGTTACAATCACTTTAAGCAGTCAGCAGATGGTGGGGTGAAGGTGAGGTAATAGTGGGGTGGGGGTGGCGTGACGCTGGAATATTCTTCGGTGAACAGGAACTGATGCATCATCCTAAAGATTGCTAGCAGTGGTGGCTTTGTGGGAAACTTTGAAAAGGAGAAGCATGTGGTCATCTGTAGATTGCATTCTAGGTGCAGCTGGAGGGAGTGAATCTCACAGGGAGCCTACAAGTCTGGTCACTTTGTAATGCTACAAAAGGGGTTTTAAGTCCTTGAGCATGTTATGTACTGTAACAGAGTCAAGGTCACTCTGCACCTGGAACACGAAGGCTTAGGGAAGTTTGCCTCCCCAGAGGTCTGACACAGTTAGCGGCTGTTTATTGTTCCCAGTACTTGTGGCCATTTTATGTAGACACTGTAAGCCCTTCCTCCATTACTGTTTCCCCCAACAACCTGGTAATTTCTAGTTATTAGAAAATCTTCATTACAGCAATCTAAAATTCCATGCCTAACTTCCAGATGAAAGCTCCGCCTGTCCTCCAGCCTCAGTCTGCTTTAGGCTGGAAGTCCATAGCTAACTCTTTGATATCACTACCTTGTGCTTCACCTCCGGAGATGGAGTGGGAGAATGCAGAAAAGGCAGAGAGTAAAAAGTCTCATTGTGGTTGGGTCATAGAGGCAGGGAATTTTCAGCATTGCTGGAAAATCCCCTGAGTAACAGAAATTCCCAAAGCCCAAATGTCTAGGTACTTCCCTCTCACAGTGGCTGTGTGTTGGCTCCTTTGTCATTTTTACTGGAGAAGTATTGCATAAGCAAAATAAAGCACTCTAGGACAAGCCAGCTGGGAATCCCAAAACACTAAATGGCTGGGAATCCCAAAACACAAAAATATGAATCACTAAATGGTTGAAGACTCTAATGACTTGAAATCAAGGTATTAAACAGACAAAAAAAGAGCAATACATACCTTAGAAAATAGTTGAACATCAATCAGAGCAAAAATTTAGAAATAAGTAAAATTTATATACTCAGATATGAGTCAAGTGTAACTTTTAAAATAATTAAAGACCTTGGAATTAAGTATATTATTAATTTAAAAATATATGTATAGGAGGGCTGATTAGAAGAATGGATAATGCTGAAGAGAGAATTAGTAATTTGGAAGATGAAATTGAGGGATTGTCATAAAGCGTAGCCCAGAGAAACCTACTGTTATTCCTTACAAGCAATTTTGTTCTTTGCTCTTTTTACCTATTTCAATTTTTTAACAGTAAAAAAAATTTGCGTACTTCCATGTAATTAAAAATAAATATAATTGGAGCCTACCACAGCCACTGTCACCAGACTGCCTCTCTAGATTTCTCCCCTCTGGGAAGGGCATCTCTGAAAGAAAGATAGTCCCCCAGTCAGGGACTCATAGATAAAACTCCCATCTTCCTGGGACAGAACACCTGGGTAGCTGTGGGCACAGCTTCAGCAGAATTAAACATTCCCACCTGACGGCTCTGAAGACAGCAGCGGATCCCCCAGCACGGTAGTCAAGCAAACACCACATGTTCTTACTCATAAGTTGGCATAGGGAGGGGAACATCACACACCAGGGCCTACAGGGGGTGAGGGATAAGGGAGGGATAGCATTAAGAGAAATACCTAATGTAGATGATGGGTTGCTAGGTGCAGCAAACCACCATGGCATATGTATACCTATGTAACGTTCTGCACATGTATCCCAGAACTTTAAAGTGTGTATGTGTATGTGTGTATATATATAAATAGAGAGAGAGAGAGAGAGAGTTTTACTTCTTCCTTTCAAAAAGAAAAGACCTGAAAATCTGGTGGCTTAAAATGACATTTATAAATAAATAAATAAAATTTACATTTTAAAAGTAAAAACCATAATAATATGCCCATTATGGCAGTTTAAAAACAAAAAAGCTAAAAGAAGCAAAATGTTATTTCATTTTTGTGTGTTTCAATACTCTATTGCCATCAGTATGCAAAAATATTACTTTTAATGAAATAATGACTGATGTATTTTTTCCTTTACTATTAATTTTTTGGTAATACATTGTATTTCAGTGACTGGAGTATATGACTTCTACATGTTGCCTGTTTCAACCTTTTTAATTAAAATAAATCTTTGCCTAGAGCGTTCAACTCAATTTTAGTCAGTATCATTGTTTTAGATTTCCTCCAGAAAATAAAATTTAAAGTAGCTATTTAAATGTTGTTACATTGCTGGTTTCAGCGACTAAAAAAAAGTTTCAAAACCCTATACAGATTAAAAATGACATTGACACCTGTAATTTATTGTTATTATATTCTTCTACTAGATATACCTATGGTGAACCTGTGGACGGGAAGGCCCAACTTAGCGTGTGCAGAGAATCTACTGCTTATCATTCCTGTGCTCACCTTCGCAGTTCACTCTGTAAAAATTTTACCATTCAGGTAAGGGGTATATCTGCAAAATTCTAAATAAGTTTGCATTCAGGTTTTATCCTCACCTTCCATTTACCTTCCCTTCTTATTTCTCTCTTTACACTTAAAAATACACACTTTTATTCTGAATTTCTTTTCCTATTTGTAAATTTTATAGTCTTCTTTTTTCATGATCATTTTCATTTTCTAATGATTGTCAAAAAGCAAATTATAGTATCAGAAACTAAGTAGTAAATTTTGATTCTGAATTAAAAATGGATTTGGTTTCATATCAAAATCTATGCCATATCTATTTACTAGGAACATATGTTCTGTTCTTTATTTTATGCTTTGTGGATTCAGTCAGGGAGATATGATGATGTTTGTGTGTACTCAAGAGTATTCGATGCATAATTATTTTTCTCTTAATCTATTCTCACTGGAAATAAGTGTATATAGGAGCTCCAGATGGGAACTCTATCAGTCAGGGTTTCTAACCACTAAAGAGAAGCATTAACTTTTCCAAACTTACAAAGGAGGAATTTCCTAAAAGATCTACTTGGAAGCATGGAGAACCAACATTCAGAAAATGGACACAAACAGGCTGGTCTAGGACGTAGCAAGGCTTTCAGCTATAATCATGCCAGAGTCTGACTGGCTAATATACAATGTCAGCTGCAATCCCCTTACTACAAACAGCGTGATACGACTTATCCACACGCACATGTGCACACACAGGCACGCACGCATACTGAGTCATATATTCCTGTTCTGCTTAGAGAATACTTTAGTTTGGAAATAATTAAGAACCTTCTCATTCTGTAAAAAAAAAAATGGACAATAAACACAGTAGTAACAATTATAATAATTACTAACATTTAATGGATGCGTATTTTATGTCAGTCACTGAGCAAAGTAGTTTATGTGTATTTGATTCTCAAAACACATAGTACACCATGAGGGGGTACTATTATCGCACCCTTACTGATAAGTGAATTAAAGCAGACAGAGGTTAAATACATTGTATATCAATAAATGCATATATTTTTAGACAGAGTCTTGCTGTGTCACCCATGCTGGAGTGCAGTGGCATGATCTCAGCTCACTGCAACCTCTGCCTCCCTGGTTCAAATAGTTCTCATGCCTCCACCTCCCAAGAAACTGAGACTACAGGTGTTAATGCCCAGCTAATTTTTGTATTTTTTAGTAGAGACAGGGCTTCACCATGTTGGCTAGGCTGGTCTTGAGCTCCTGACCTCATGTGATCTGCCCGACTCAGCCTCCCAAAGTGCTGGCATTACAGGCGTGAGCCAGTGCACCCAACCAAGATCATATAAATATTTAAATAACTAGTGGGGATGTATCTTTAAGGATATCAGTAATACAAAAATGTTCTCCACAATTTCATTAAACAGATAAATTTTGAGGTCTTTTAGTAGGTAAGGATAATTTTATTTAGAAGCTTCAATGTTGAGCAAGACAGATCAGGTACCTATCCTCATGGGTTTTGCACTTTATGAAGCTGTTGTAATCTTTAAAAGATGCACACTCTAGAAGGGAATAAATCAATGTTAGTCAAGTACACAGTGTAGGTAGATCCCAGAATGCATTATCGAAGAAGGCTATGTTATATAGATGACCTTGAGGAGATTTGAGAGATCTGGAAATTTAAAATATGCATGTAGGGTGGGAAGGGTTGAGGATCAAAAAACCACCTATTAGGCTGGGTGCGGTGGCTCAAGCCTGTAATCCCAGCACTTTGGGAGGCCGAGGCGGGTGGATCATGAGGTCAAGAGATCGAGACCATCCTGGTCAACACGGTGAAACCCCGTCTCTACTAAAAATACAAAAAATTAGCTGGGCATGGTGGTGCGTGCCTGTAATCCCAGCTACTCAGGAGGCTGAGGCAGGAGAATTGCCTGAGCCCAGGAGGCGGAGGTTGCGGTGAGCCCAGATCGCGCCATTGCACTCCAGCCTGGGTAACAAGAGGGAAGCTCCGTCCCCCCCCCCAAAAAAAAAACCACCTATTGGGTACTATGCTTATTACCTGGATGGTGAAATATCTGTACGCCAAACCCCCATGACACGCAATTTACCTGTGTAACAAACCTGCACATGTACCCCTGAACCCAAAATAAAAGTTAAAAAAATAAATAAAATGCACATGTGAAGCAGGAGTGTGAACTAAATAATTTATCTAATTATTCATCTTCAGCATAGTGGAAATTTTTCTAGACCTTTAACTTTGTGGAAATGGCTCTAAACCTTCTTACGGTTTCAGGGATCCCCTGAAGTGGCACATGATTTTGACATGTCACCCACATCTTGAGAACTAGATTACCTCATGTCATCATAAGGTGGAGTAGAACCAGAACTCCATTTCTCCCCAATATCATAGTCCCGGAATCTATGAATACAATTTATCCCACATTTTTAAAATATTTGCCAATTCCTCCTGTTTAACTTTGGTTATTAATTGTGACATTTAAAATTTCACTTAGTGAGACAGCCTCACTTGTCTAGACACTGAGAGAAATTTAAAGGAATCTAATATAAAAATCTACTACTTACTGAATGTTTACTAAGTGGCAGGCCCTGTGCTAAGCACTTGCCAGTTACTATCTAATGTAATACAATTCTACAAGCTCTTTATTAACATCCCATTTTGTAGGAAGTAATAAGGGGCAAAGCCAGGGTTCAAATCCTGGTGTTTGACTGTTAAACATATGTTCTTAACGTCTATGTAAGTAGTCCCATCAATGTCCAAGGCACGGTAGCAATATAATATAAAACTCAGTTTCAAAACCGTAAAAGAATATGGCTGAAATTACCAAAATTGCAAATATCATGTGTGAATACATGTGACTAGTGATGGATATGTTTATTGTGTACATTAACAAAATAATGTCACCATGAAGAGTTTTTTAAAACACAATATTGTAAGAGTAAATATTTATTAAAAATTCAAATGTAGTTAGAATTAAATACATGAACTGAAAATTTAAATGATAGAAACACAATGGATTATTTTCTAAAACTAAAATTTGGATAATACAGTAGTATTCTTAAAGTTGCTTCAGTGAGGTTACACATTTCCCTGTTACAATTATTTCTTACAGTCTTCTTTTAAAATTTAACTTTTTAAAATTGTTCTATTCATTAACTTTTCAGTTAGGAAAAGATGGCTGTGTCTCCAAGTTTATTAACACAGATGCTTTTGAGTTAAATCGGGAAGGATACTGGCATTTCCTCGAAGTGCATGCTCTTGTTACAGAAGATGGAACAGGTAATGCTCTCTAAGAGGTCAGACCTCAATGGATATCACTGCCTCATTGGAATTGTTACCTGGTTAATACAGTCATTTCTTCCCCAAGGGCTTTTCTTTGCATTCATCTGATTCAAATTCTGAATGTTTCCTATATAAACCAAAATTTTTACACGCCTGTTGATGGATGGTCAATTATTAAATTTAAATAAGACTACAATAGAAGAATGCCAATTTATTGATTTATAATGGGAGTATTTGGTTTTAGATACAAGCATATTCCTTTTCCTTAATTATTCCACAGGTAAATATAATTGAGACATGTAATTGTTGATTATTAAATTTTTTTTGGTGAGCATAGAATTAGAACATGGGAAGTAAAATAGTTTGGGGAGAATATTTTACCAAGCCTCTGAAAATAAATCTAGTACCTAGCTTCATGACCAGGAAAATACTTATTTAAATATTTATCTCATGACCAGGAAATATTTCTTTCTTTCCCCTCCCTCCCTCCCTCTCTTCCTCCCTTCTTTTTTTGGATGGAGTTTTGCTCTTGTTGCCAAGGTTGGAGTGCAGTGGTGCAATCTCAGCTCACAGCAACCTGCGCCTCCCAGGTTCAAGCGATTCTTCCGCCTCAGCCTCCGGAGTAGCTGGGATTACAGGCGCCCTCCAGCATGCCCAACTATATTTCGTATTTTTAGTAAAGACAGCATTTCATCATGTTGGCCAGGCTGGTGTCAAACTCCTGACCTCAGGTGATCGGCCCGCCTCAGCCTCCCAAAGTGCAGGGATTACAGGCGTGAGCCACCCGGCCAGACAAAAATATTTCTGATGACTAATTTCTTGTGTCTCCTGGACTTAATGCCCCTTTTCCCATAAGCACAGAATGCCCTTTTTAATTACATATATATATATATATATATATATATATATATATATATATATATAAAACAATTCTTACTATTAATAAATTAAAGCACATGTTTTAAGCAAGCAGAGAGTAAAAGAAATGTTGTTAAGCAATTACTTAGGAATAATGAGAAATCAACGTTTACTAGTCCATCAGGAAGGAATGATAAATTAGTTGAATATTTTATAAAAAGCAGCGACAGCAGTTGTCACAAGCGTTTTGTGCCATCTTGATTAACTTTCTTTATAAAAGACATCTGAAGAAGTACCTATATATTAAAACTGCTTAGGAAAGGGAAAGGCAACCATTAGAAGGAATGGTGAGCCTTTGTGGGTTTTTTTGTTTTTTTTTTTTTTTTAAACCTTTTTTGGAATTTTTTGGGGGGACATTTTCTTTAAAAATGTTTCTTGACTGCAAGGGTACAGCTTTCAGGGCTCCAAGTCCATATACATAGACTCGTCAATGGTGAAGATTAGTTTTAAGAATATGGATATGTCCTACAAACAGGGACTCCCTTATTTTGGCCAGGTAAGAGAAGCAATCTTTTTTTTTAAACATACCTTACTCATTCATTCATTTGCTCTTTCATTTATCGATTAATCTTCCAACAGCTTTCCCTCAGAATTACTACGTAGGAATCTCTGTGCTCAGCACTTTAGCATGTCCTCCAGTGTTGATTTTCACAGGTCTGTCCTGGTGCATACGTTTTATCAAGTTGTGCCTGTTAATAGTATCCTGCTTTACCCTCAAAATGTCCAAGTTTGGACAATAAATTATATAGTCAATGTCAGAATTAGGAATTAAATGGTGATGTAGAGAGGCACGTTTATCACTGCTTTTATGGAGTTTATAGTGTAACAGAGATAATAAGCATTTAACAGATAATTTTACAAATAATTCTTTATTGTAGTTGTGATAGGGGCTATGTCAGTGAAATACCAACCATTTAACTACTCTACTTCAGGAACTGGCAAACCACAGCCCACAGGCAAATCCCACAGAGACCTGCCTTGTACAGCCAGTGAGCTATGAGTGATTTATTTTAACATTTTAAAAACATTATTTTTAAACAATTCAAATATATATCAGATGGAGACCATGGTGCTTTCCGAAAGAAGTTTGCTAAAATCTGGACTAAATGATCATGGAAAGTTTTTCTGAGGAAGTAATATTCAGGTTGACAGAAGAACACTAAAAAAGAAATGCAAAAGTGGGTAACCTGGCTTTGATCTTACAGAGCAGTGGTTCTCAAACTGGCATCAGCATCACTTAAAGGACTTGTCGAAACAAATTTCAGTAAAAGTCATTTTATGAGCCAATTTAGATTGAAATACAGCTTTGGCAAATAGATAATTTGATATATGTTAATTTCCATTACTGAGTAGTTGTGGATAATGTTAACATAATTTTTTTCTAACCTTTCTCTTTGCTTTGTACATTTTTGCTTTATATAGTTCCATGTTCTGTTACTAAATATATAGAACTGAGAAATATGATACCTTCAAAGAATATAATTTTTTTTGAATATAAAATAACCTTCCCTAGACTTGGGAATTCTACATTTCCTCCCTCTTATGTTATTGTTACCCGAGATGATTTCTTGGGTTCCTGTTTGTCTCTTGTATCTTTTTTGTGATTTAAAAGTGTTTTCTGTGTAAAGAGTATTTTATGTGAAAATGATATATTTTAGCTTCCTTCTGAACTTAATCTTCTGAGGTTTTCGTTATTCATTAGTTTGTTTTATTCGATTGGCAAAGATCTCCAAATTGAATATTAGAGATGATAGTAGACTTTCTGGTTGTGTTTGCATATTTTGGGGAATGCTTTTTAAAATTTAATCCATAAGCCTAATAAGCAACTGTAGAATTTTGTGAGATATACTCTATCAAGTCAAAAATTTTCCTTTTTTAATTTACTAAGAATTTTCTATAATGTGTTAGTTTCTATATCTAGATATTTCTCATTAAATTTAGTTTTTTAAAATAGGGGGCATAAAATAGTTATGTTCACTTATGATTTGAAAAACTAAATCTACCATAATTTATTTCCCCTTTTTTATTCCTAGTTGTTTGTGATTTTTTCCCATTGGTTTTTGCATTTATTAATATCTTTATTTTTAATGTTATTTTAAATGATTTTCATTTCATCATTTATTTTTATTATATATTTTTTCTACTTTTTTTCTAGCATCTTGTTATAAATACTTATTTTGAACTTCCATGTTTTCAAATTTATACAGTTTTTCCTAAGTGCAGCTTTCCTCCTCACAGGTGTTTTTCTATATTATTTTTATTTTTTAAATTATGGAAAAATGCATATAATATGAAATTTATCATCTTAACAATTTTAAGTTCAATTAAAATCATTTTTGATGATTGTATTATTTTTGTTTTTACCTAAGAATTAGTTAGAGTTTTAAGTTTTCTTCTCTAGTATGTGTGATTATGGTTGTATATTTTTTTTAAAAAGTAATTTTTTTTCAGTAACATCTACAATTTATTGAGTACTTATTAGGTCTTAATCATTTGCTAAATGCATACACAGTATTCACAATAGCTTCAGGAAATGATAGATGTATTTAAGTTTGGATCCATGATTAACAATTAGCTGAGTAAAAAGCTCTTTTCTACCCTACAGTAAGCTCAACATTAAAGACCGACATTCCAATTAATATAATTAACCCTGCATTTACAGAGCTGTTTTCTCATAATAATGCACGTCTACTGCTAAATGACTACTTTCAAAGTTGCTTTCTTTTTCATGTTCAAAGAAAATTACATTTGCTTTCCTCTCACTTTTACAATGGAATACTCTTCCATGCTACTGTAGAATCTATTAGGAAATTCTTGGAAATAGAAATCAATTAAACCCTATAATCAGAGCTTCTCTTCTTGTTAAACTGCTTTGCAGGGGGGAAACGGCATACATTCACAAAATAATACTCTGCTGAAACACAACACTGACTCCCAAGAATATTAATTACTTAACATTTGTCAAACACTGTTACATGCTACCAATGTTACATGTGTCAGGACTCCTTTTTCAGTAACCATGGTTCTTGAAATCCTGGATAACTTAAAAAAAATAGAGTCTGGCTAAAGAAATTTAAAAGTTCTCTGACTCTCAGCTGGACACCTTGGGAACTAGAATATGGATACATCCCACCCAGTTCCCGGGAATACATAATGAAAAAGTTCACATACATCCCACATTCCACAGTAATATCTCAAAGCTCTCTCCTAGTTCCAGCATCCTTCCACAGCACGAATACCAAGAGTATTAATCAAGGAGGGACAACCTTCCACTATATCCCTCACTCACAATTCCAAAGATGTTTGTCCTGGAACTTCTGTCTTATTTTCGTGAGCTCTTGGCATATCGTGATAGCATGACATCTTCACATCGAGTATACTGCTTGGCTAGCATCAATAGTAGTTCAAACAAATTGCAACACTTCTTATACTTCACATCAACTAGGGGAAAGGCGACAAACATTGTAAGACAGCTTGAAGCACAGGTTAACACCAAGGTCTGTGCCTGGGAGATAAAACAGGCAAGATCAACAGAGGACTAACATTGACTAATTCTGTTGCTTAGCAGGGACAAAACAGTTCTCTGATTTATAATAAAATCCATTCACCTATTTGTAGTTACTTTTACGGTAGAGAATATTCAAGTTTTATTAAAGTGCTTCGAGCAAAATTTCACAACTCCTGTAAGGCTTCCTGCTGTTCATCATCAAGTTGAGATACACATTCCAGCCATAAGTCTTCAGCGGTCTGTACCTGACACACAACATTAGCTAGGCGTTTGGTATAAGGATCTTCATAGTTAATAGTTCCATTAATTTTTCCTTCTGCAATTATACTGATTATTTTGGGAAGACTGGAATTATTTGGACCAATTACAACTGGGTGGTTACCTTTAATTAGGTCACAGAGAAAACTCAAAGTCTAAATAGCTTCATGTTTATCTTCCTGCAGTGGAAGCCATGAAAACCAGTGTGGAAGAACTTCATCTACATTTACACAGTTAGGCTTAAACTTCAAACTCTTCCCTACTGCTGAGATACAGCTCTCTGTAGCAATGACTTTTTTTGGTTTTGTTTTTGGAATTTGCACACTTGATAACTTTTACCAGCAGTGGCACAAATTCTGAACATAAAGAACGACAGTCATCTCCAACAATTTGCCATGACGCCCAGGCCGTATGCAGCAGCTTGCCTTACTTCAAGGTTGTTACCTCTCGTATTTAGAAGCATTGGCCACCAAAAATATTCTACATATTTAAGTGCAGTTGGACTGCAGTGCTCTATGGTGTCATCAGGTACACACGATCCCCACTGTCTGTCTGGCCATGTCGTACTTGAACAAATTAGATTTACAATTAACGGAAGTCATTGTTCAAACCATGGTAAAATCTTTTAAGTACTAAATAAGAGTGCAAAATATCTGATACTTTGGTTAGAATATAAATGTCACGTTCATCCTCATCTTGCAGAGACATCTCAACCTATTGATCTTAGTTTTCTTCCTGTCTTTTAACCTGTCTCCATTCTTGGTTTTAAAGTGTCCTGAGGTTTTGCTTTCAGTCTTCCTCTCAGTTCTTCCAAGTGTTCATCATTAAGGCAACCATCTTCCATAACTTCAGTGGACTTTGCAAAAGAATTCATTATTTCTGAGAGCACGTCTTTATCCAGTTTAGTACCAATAGCCTGGATTAAGGGATCACATATGAATTGCCACATCTGTGCAAGACACTCTGGGCCACTGTTCTACTTGCACAGATGTGGCACATTCCAGGAGAACAGGCATGGACTCTGCTGCTGCCACTCGAACATTGCCATGGAAATAAAACTTCAGTAAAGGAACCACCAGCTTCACAAGTTGTTCTGTATATTCCACAGACCCTTCCCTGAACTCCTTAGCATAGTAAACCAACATCTGGCAAGCAGTTGCTTTTGCTTCAAGTCCTGAAGTATTAATTCCAAAACTTTGCTGTTCTCCGAGATTTACAAATTGCCAGCCATCATCCTTACTCATATTCTCCACATCCTGTGTGTCTAAGAGAGCAACATCAGGCTTAGCTGAAGCAGTCTTAGTAAGAAGCTCGATAACCAGTGGAAGGTACTGTTGAAGATCTTTTCCAAGAATTCTAGGCCATGCTGAAACCACGTAAGAGGTCTGAGGGTATCATTTGCCGTATTATTTAAGTCTGATTGTGTCTTCAACAACAGCTGCATCACATTTGATCCATCTTGCAACAATTTTTCCTTCCCAGCAACAGGACCAATATGGCTAATGCACGCAATAGTTTTTCCTCTCAAATGCTTGAGTTCCTTCTGAACAGCAAGCTTAGCGATGTGCTTTAGTGAATATTATATGATACGGGATAAATTTTTCTTCCATTATATCTGCAACCAATGCAATGGTTGTCACAAGTTGTTCCAAGGCCAACTTAGTTCCATTCTGAATCAACTCTTGAAGCTTAATCACCAAGATGGAATGTAGAGTTTTCTACTATCCAAATACAGAACTAGCAATGATTTGGGCAGTTGTCAATAGAAATAATAAGAGCAGAAGCTGCGTGTGATTGCACACACTGATTACCTTGATTTTCCGTGGTACGTAATCACGATTTCATGAAATTTCTTTTGGAGATTAGGTGCAAAACCCGTAGCTATCTGTCCAAGTGTAGCACAGGCTGCAGCCCTCACCGTTGGACGAAGATCCTGGGATATTTTCATAGATTTCCTCTGCTTGCCTCCACACCATACAGCTTGGATTGATCAGGTTCTTCAGAAGCTGATAAAACTCTTGTTTTTCCAACATGGTCGCCGGTACCCCTGCAGACGTGGTCGCCACCATCGCGCTCTGTCAAGCTACCATGACTGGGAAGGAAAATAAGTAATTTTTAAATCGCAGACAACGTATATACTAAAAAGAAAAATAACAACATAAATCAAAATACAAAGAACAATGAGCACCTCTCCCCTTAATCCCTTCATTTTGCGAATACTTCCCCAGAAGTAACTACTTTCAGTCCCCTGTGTTTCATATAAGCCAGTAGGTAGCTTCGGAAGCTTGATCAGATTCAAGTTCATTTTTGGTGGGTGCAGTACCAAGCATATAGTACAGGTAGTGTCATGTACTTTTCACAGAAAGCACTCTTCTGCTCTTACTGAGATGTTAGCAGACACCGACAGTCATTACTCAGATGCATTGTTTCTCTAAACCATTCTTTCTTAGCCTTGGCACAGCTGAAATTTTGGGCCAGATAATACTTTGCAGTGAGGGCTACCCTGTGCATGGTGGGAGTTTAGCGACATCCCCAGTCTCTACCTACTAAATGCTGGTAGGACCATCCCCTTCCTATTTGTGATAGCCCAAAGCATTTGCAGACATTGCCAAATGGCAAAATTTATTGGCTAATAAGTTAAAAAGTGATAAAATAGGATTTGCCACTCTTAGAATAGTGATTCTCAATGAAGGGTGATTTGGAATGTTTTAAAAAATGTTGCCTAAATTCTGTTATCCCCTCTAAAAAATTAGCTATAATCCCCTAAAATCTGCCAGTCAATCATACTCCAGATTAGCTCAGGGGTTTTATTTCTGTCTTCTCTAGCATAAGACCTGGTTGAGAGGGGTGTGTGTGTATGTGTGTGTGTGTGTGTGTGTGTGTGTATGTGTGTGTGCACATGAACTTAAGCCTTAGCCTAGTCATTAAGGCCCAGCTCCTTCCCATTACCTCTCAGAGCTTCTGGACACTTCAAGGTAAAGTATTATCTTATCCTATAATGAGGAGCTCCAAGACATCTTTTCCTATAGAGGAGAGCTGGGAAAACAAGCTGAGGTTAGTAAGAATTTATCATGGAGGTAGGGAATAGGTGGTACCTACATGAATCAGGCATCCTCGGACAAAGTAGTCTGTCATTAATATATTGTAATACAGGTACAGCGTCCTGCCTGGACACACCCTCTTCATTAGCATTTGAAAGAATTAATTATTGAAAACTCGCGTAAGAGCTCTCATTTCCTTGATCATTTCAGGATGACCAATGGCAGCTATGAACAGATGTGAGTCTCAAACAATAAAATGTTTTAGTTCAGAAATATAGTTGTATAAAGTGGTACTTTTTAGGTTTGTGGCCATTTCACAGTGGTAAATGCTCTGATCACTTCCAGGAAATGTGCCGGGAGAAACAAGTCATTTCTGTTCCACTTTTGGAAAGGGGGCTGGTTTCTCAGTGATATAGTGAGTCACTATGGCAGCTGCATTACTGGAAATTAAAAATGGTTTATCTGGCCGTGCCTTGTGTCATAAGGTCATCAGACACGTGGCTCAGTATTGCTAGGGAGCACTTTTGAAGGGTAAACTTTATTGCCAGAATAGAGGTACTATCTGCTTTTTCAATGTCCCCTACAAATTTCAAGGCTTTGGAGGTATGCTACTCCAGGAGTAGCATATTTGAACATAGAAAGCTGGGCAAGGCTGTGGGCTAACAAGGGAATTTCTTCATAAGTGACGTAGCAGCATCCACGGATGACTGAAATGATAACTGCTTAAAATTGGAAGACGTATGGCAAATACCTCTGCCACAAGAAACATCTGCCAATGAAGCATTGCATGCCTGGCCCCTGCAGTTGATAATGGGCCTGGTACCATCACTTCGGCACTGTTTGCATTTGGGGACAAAGAAAGAAAGGAAAGTGCCCAGAAATCACATGGCTTATTCGTTTTTCTGTGACTAGAAATTACTCAAAGGATCTTTCCAGTCGAGGTGTACTAAAATTAGGGCAAACCTCTGTGTGATCATAAAGGCATGGTGTCATGTGTCTGTGGCCTGTGGATTGCTGAGACAAGCTGAATTTTTCTTACAAGATCAAGCCTTGAGATGAAATACATTCAAAAGCTGTGTAGATGGTGCAACTGAGGCATCAGTCTGCAGATGCTGAGCAAGAAAAAAGGATTGTGTTTGCTTGGGCCAGCAGGAAAATGATAAGTGACAGAAACAGCATGAAAGGCTCCAAGGCAGAAGTTGTTTTGCAGAAACTGACAGCTAAAAAAAGAGTATGTCTTAGACAGTTTTTTTTCTGGTTATTGTAGCCTTAGATGTTGTTAAGAAGGTTGCCTTTAAAGCCTTCCAACTGGCATAGATATGGATGCAGGCATTCTATCTACTACAAATATTACAATTTCAGAAGGGACTTTTTTTTTTTTTGAGACGGAGTTTCGCTCTTGTTACCCAGGCTGGAGTGCAATGGCGTGATCTCGGCTCACCGCAACCTCCGCCTCCTGGGTTCAGGCAATTCTCCTGCCTCAGCCTCCTGAGTAGCTGGGATTACAGGCACGTGCCACCATGCCCAGCTAATTTTTGTAGTTTTAGTAGAGACGGGGTTTCACCGTGTTGACCAGGATGGTCTCGATCTCTTGACCTCGTGATCCACCCGCCTCGGCCTCCCAAAGTGCTGGGATTACAGGCGTGAGCCACCGTTCCTGGCTTTCAGAAGGGACTTTTTAAAGCAATCCTTGCCTCTGCTAGTAAGACAAGGAGAAAGAGAGTTCTAGCAAATAACCATGACTGATCAGAGCAGTCGCTACAATATTTTAGGGAGGAGAGTGCTAAACTTTGCATTTTAGAAAATTTGGTTTGATGCCAGTATAGAGAAAGAACAAGAAAAGCAATACAGGAGAGGGAGACTGGATAGAAAAAAATAGATGTATGAGGTATAAAAGATAAGAAACCGACATAAGGAATAGCAGCAGGAATGAATATGATCAGTTGGAAACAGAAAATGTTAAAAAGATACAATTGAAAATACTTTATCAACAATTGAAATTATAGGAAAACAAAAATAAAAAGTCTCGGATACCTCTAGATATTTGACCTCAGTGTCTGCGTGGTTGAGCTATTCACTGAGATGAATAAGAGAGAGAAAAAAGGGACGCTTGGGTACAGTAATAATCATTCCAGTTTGAGGGTTTCTGTAGCATTTTTATTATAAAAAATATTCAGGATAATTATATGGGCATGGGTTTTCAGAGATCTTTGTGGGTAGGAGAATCAGAGTTTCGGCTCAGTAGTACATGAATGGTACATGTCACACACTCGCCGGGAGTAGAGGAAACCGCCCAGGAAGTGCATCCATACCAAGGAGAGGGGAGTGCCCATGAGAGAACCTTGGCAAATGCCATCAAGATGCTTCCCAAATTTACTAAATACTTCAGAAATGTATTTTCTTCCTCTTGTACAGATTAAATTGCTTAATCCAGACAACGCTCCAATCCCAAATGAAGTTGTCCAGTTGCATCTGAAGGACAAAATTGTGGGCAACTACACCACAGATGTAAACGGCATTGCTCAGTTTTTCTTGGACACATCCACGTTTACGTACCCAAATATCACTTTGAAAGTAAGTTAAACCGAAGGCAAGTAAAACAAACACAAGCAAGCAAGCAAAAACCTGCACTGGCTAGCTAAGGTTTAGGTCTATACAAAACTATGTTTATGGAAAAGAAATGAAAAGATACATCTTGGTATGAATCTCAAGTACCGAAAATGGTTAAATATTAAGAAGATAGGCCCCATGAAAGGTAAATTAAAATTATTTTGTGAATCCCTGGAAAAGATGGAAGGATAGCATAAAGTGTATAAAAGATAATTAGTGGAAAATAAGCAGCGCTTCACTTTTATTATGGAAATAGAAAGAAAATTGCATTTTTATAGAAGGAAATATGTGAGAAGCCTTGTAATCTATCGCCTTGGAATAATGTAAAGAATTTCTCTGGATATATTCAAGAGAGATGGAAACTACTATCTGTAATAATTAACTATCAATCCTTCTTAGATATTTTTAAAGGACTCCTCAGACTGTTTGTGTTGATAATGGTAAATTACTATGATTACAATAAACACCTTGCTGGTATTTCATAAAAACCTGTCCATCTTTCAGCAAAATTTCGTATTGTGTTATCAGAAGCAAAGTAAACTTTTGCTCTCACAGGTTCTTCATGTTATAGTGAGGGAGATATAGCAATCTGCATGCTGGAAAATGTATAATTATAGTAACGAATACAGTAAAATATTTAATGTAATATTATTGAACCAGGACTTGAATAGACTAAATTGTAAAAACCATAGTGGTTGCTCTAGAGTATAACTAGAAAATGGAGAATTCGGTTAGACTTCATGTAGAATGGCTATAAACTTTTCTTGCAGAGATAAAAAGCAGGATGACAATAAACCATCTTTTCAAATATTCTTTCACTCATCCTTTCTCTTTATCCTAAAATTCCTGTAAATTTGATTTTTTGTCTAGGCAGCCTACAAGGCCAATGAAAATTGCCAGGCTCGTGGCTGGGTGTTGCCTCAATACCCTCAACCGGAGTACTTTGTATACCGATTTTACTCCAAGACTAACAGCTTCATAAAGATTGTCCAAGAGATGGAAGAACTGAGATGCCACCAGCAGAAGAGGGTGCTGGTGCACTACCTTCTCAACATGGAAGACTTGGAAGACAAAACCTACACAGCAAACTTCAATTATTTGGTATGAACTGAAAATATTCTTCCGCAACCAAAATTGTTTCTTTTCTTTAAAACTTCTTTGAACCTAATGAAATCCTTTTTCCTATAGGCCATGAGGAAGCTCAAAGTCAACATAAATGATAAAACTTATATAACTGATTTCTATTTTTAAGTAAAGAGGAAAAAGGCCATGCCACCACAGCCCATATAACCGTCTGTCATTCTCAGACCCTTTCTTCAGAGGAACCCCTTTCTATTTAGACATAGCTGGGATCAAATCATAGTTCTGATACTTACTACCAGCTTTGTGTTACTTTTTGAAAGCCATTTAAATCTCTAGAGAATCTTAATTTTTTTGTAAGATAATGTCTAATCACAGGGTTGTTAAGATAAATTATTCAATAATATACATAAAGCCCTTTGCCCAACTTCTGGCACACAAAAGATATTGTGTTAATTTTTATTATATTAGATTGGTATTAGGGATGATTTTACATGGTCTAAATGGATGCATGATACTTCATTGATATAAAATTAATGAAAAATGAATTAATTCAATCAGCCAACGCTTACTGAATGTTTTTTCATGTTCCAGGAACTGTATTAATAATTGTAACAATAAAAGAAATAGAAAAAGTATAACTGGGGACAAAACAAATTATAATGACATAAACACAACAAATGAAACATGTATGGCTACTAAAGTGTTACAGAAAAATGAATGATTAACTCTAGCTAGAGTTTAGGACAGTGATTATCAAAGTATAGTTCGTAGAGTAGCTGTGTCAGCATCGCCTGGGAATAAGTTAGACATTCTGGAAATAAGTTAGAAATTGTCTTAACAAGTCCTCCGGGTGATTCTGAAGCAAATGAAAATTTGAGAACCTCTAGTTTAGGAAAAAGATATATGTCTATATATTTACACTTATATGTATATACACATTTTAAAGGAAAAAGACATAAAAATACATAAAGAGAATATGCCTAAATAGGGCTTTGTAGGATGAATAGGAGTTTTCTGGATAGTTAGCAGATATGAGAAATACATTTAAGCTTATTTTAGAAAATAACATATGAGGTCCAAGATGTCTGAAGTGTATTATTCTGAGAACTAAAGGTGTTTGAGTATATCTACATGAAGAGTGAAAGTAGTACCACACGATTTCTCACATTTTTCAAACTTAGAATTCTGGAATAATCTTTTGATACTTCCTTTTTCACACTACTGCATCATCAATTTCTATCACTTTTTCATTATATTATCTCTCGCACTTTTTCTTTCCTTCATCATTTCCGCAAATATTAAAATATTTCAGACTAGCGAGGTATGGACACCAAGCCATTAGAAAAAGTATGAGTCATAATTCCACTGAAGCTCTTAGCTAAGCCAAGCATGGCTCATTTAGACTGGGGCAGAGAGGTGCGGGTGAGAGGAGCTGGTTGTGGAGGAGAGGCTCTAGGGAAGCAGGGAGGGGGCTCTGGGGAGCTCAGGGAAGTGTCTCTTTACCAGTCGGTACAGAAATTCTTCAACATGTCAACGATAATATTGCTGTAATGGGGTGGGAAATACCAAGCATCCTTAGGGCGAAAAGCTGAACCTCTTAACTAGTTTTTATAAAGACACTCCCACATGCCCTTGACTTTTGCCTTCCTCTTTTCTGGCCATGCCTCTGCTCATCTTTTCTTTTTTTTTTAATTGTACTTTAGGTTCTGGGGTACATGTGCAGATCATGCAGGATTGTTGCATAGGTACACACATGGCAAGGTAGTTTGCTGCCTCCATCCCCCCGTCATCTATATCTGGCATGTCTCCCCATGTTATCCCTCCCCAACCCCCCCATTCCCTGCTGTCCCTCCCCTAGCCCCCCCACAGCAGACCCCAATGTGTGATGCGCCCCTCCCTGTGTCCATGTGTTCTCATTGTTCAACACCTGCCTATGAGTGAGAACATGCGGTGTTTGACTTTCTGTTCTTGTGCCAGTTTGCTGAGAATGACGGTTCATCTTAACATCCAACACCTCCCAATGCAGAGCTGAGCCATCTTGCAGGTCCGTGGTGTGAATTGAGTTATTTGTCATCAGCTCCCCTCTTGAAACACCTTATATTTGCCCCACACTCTGATCTGATAAGGCTTTTGCAATTACTTTGTCTCATTTCCATTTTAAATGAGTCTCCTAATATAATTAAAGACTTTTTCTTCCTCTCTTTCTCCTTCCTCCCTCCCTTTTCTTCTTTCTTTCTTTATTCTGGCAATCTAGAGTGCTTTTTTCAAAAGCAATTAGGATTATTTCACTCCCCTAATTTAAATACAGTTAATGACTGCCTATTTCTATTAAAACAAATACCGGGTTCCTTTCCTTTGCCTGCAAGACTATCTGCTCTGCGACTGTGCCGCTCGCCAGCTTCATTTTGCATCATTCTACACTTGAGCCTTCTTTATGGTAGACGCAAAGGGCTTCCGTTTTCTTGAATAAGTCACGTGCTTTTCCGGCTCAGAAGCCTCCCACAGGTTTTTTCTTCTGCCCATAACTACCTTCGTTCCCTTTTGCTACCATAACTCCCAGCCTGTCTGCACCTTGTTTTCCTAGCTGATTCCTCCTCAGCATTCACCTCTTGGCTTACATGAAACTTTCTAATCTCCTAGACAATTCAAGTCTTCCCTTACGTATTCTTTCATAATAGGCTGAATGGAGTTTCTGCCTAGCAGGGTGCACATCCCAGAGAGAACCCTCAATATAATATTTTAGAATGAATGGATGGAGGCTGAACTAATTTGATTCTCAGGCTTTCAAGAATTAATTTGATACTCAGGCCTTTAAGCTTTTTTTTTCTTCTTCTTCTTTTTTAAAATGAGGTTTCACTGTGTTGATCAGGCTGGTCTTGAACTCCCGACCTCATGTGATCTGCCTGCCTTGGCCTCCAAAGTGTGTGGATTACAGGCGTGAGCCACCACGCCTGGCCTAAGCTTTTTTTTAAATTGGGTGACCTGACAAATATCAGTACCTCTGCGTGCCTCTTCAGTTTACTTGTCTGTTACAAGAGCTGTCTTTCTGTTGTGCGAAGTCAAAGTTAATATAGCCAACAGTACTCAGATCTTTAAGGCTCATTAAACATTGAGCTTTATACCTTTTTGCAAATGTTCTAGTTCCAAAACAATATCTTCCAGCTAGTTGAGGTTCAGTTCTTTTTTATGAACTAATAACCCGAACTCGGCACTTCAGAGATTTAAAGCAATTTTAATATTCAGTGCAATATTAAACAGAGGAGGAGTACCAGCTCCAGCAACTTCAAGCTACAAGATCTTCTGGAAGCTTTAGATTTTCTGCAAGTCTCAGCATCTTTTAAAATAATATTCTAAAATTTTAATTTAAAAATTCAAGGAGTTTTTACTAGATTTCAAGTCTCCAGCCTTCGTTTGCACTTTAGAGGTCTGCTGATGTAAATTTGCACAAGGTTGCTGATAAAGGTGAAGTGAGAGAAGCATTTTTCTGGGGTACCCCCTGCTAGCTACTTTCTTTTCTTTAAATTTTGGGTGGAGATACATGAACAGGCCTTCTTATACCTTGCTTATCAAACACAGCTTTCAGAAAACGCTTCAGTGCTGGGATCCTCCTAATCCTTTGTGTAACTTTGTTTCACTAAAGTGAATACATTTACATGTAATTCAGCATTTACCAATATAAATAAAAAGTTGTTTATTGGTCTTAGAAAACTGTTTTGGAATGTGGAACATTAAATTGCTTTATAACAAGTTTATGACTCCTAAATTATCTTGAATATAGTTATTAGAGTCATATGTTTGTTTACTGGTAACCTGAGTTTACTAGTAAATGTGTCAATAGTATTGTTCAGACAAGAAAAAGGAGGTAAATCACATTAGTTATAATTAAATGAAATTTAGTTTCTGTTCTCTAAACTTTATCATTATATTTTCATTTTCCTAGATGATTTCAAAAGGTGTAATCATTCTTCATGGGCAACAGCTAATTGAGATCAATGATAATGGTGAGGCCTCTAATTTTATCATATAATTTAATAAAAACAGAATGCTTTAATTGGGATATATTTTATATTTTTCTTTAAAAGTCACTATCCTCCCATTTTAGGATCGTTTTACTGCCCCCCAGACTGCCCTTGGGGAACATGTAAAGATAGGTGACTAGGCACAATGCCAAATGAAAAAATAATTAATTAATATTGTGTTAATTATATTCCAAACACTACTATAATGGAAAAGGGTCATTGGTTCTTCCCTTTCTCTTCCAAGAAAGACAGGTAAGTATTTTTGTATTCCAAAGAGAAGGGATTTTTTTTAAATGAAACAAACTTAGACTGAAGTTTGAGGTATTAAGAAATGTTCGACTGTCTCTTTCTTTCGTAATTTATGGAATAGGTTATGAACTCCTCCTAGAAATGCTTTACAAATTAAATTTGGTGGGTCGGAGCAGTCTCTTTCATTGGCAGTGGGTAGGATGGCTAGAAATTCAGTGGCAGGTTTCTGCAAGATGACGATTAACTATCTCATCAAAGCACTTTTTCAGTTTGAAATTTTCTTTTCACAGGGAAGAAGGGCGTATTTTCCATTTCTATAGATGTTCGCCCTGAGTTAGCGCCCTCAGTAGATCTGCTTGTCTATAGCTTGCATCCTGGAGGAGAAATGGTGATGGACAGCGCCCAATTCCAAATTGAGAAGTGCTTCAAAAATCAGGTGGGAGACAAAAATGATTCTTTTTCAATTTTTGGGAAAACTAAGGAGAACTTAGGGAGTGCTGGGTTTAAACTCCCAATTTTTCATAGAATTGCAAAATGAAAAATAAAGGAAAGCTATCATGGAAAAGTGACTATGTTGGATGATTGAAGAGTAGCAGAATTATAACATTCACCTTGGATGTTGTTCCTGTTTTACTAAATTGTGGCTATTATTAGGTGGGTATATCACAGAAAGCCCTTCTAACTTATGTGTGTTTTTAAAAAGTTAAGAGTAGTCTACAAGATGCTTCTTCTCATACAACTTGCCATCTTTTTGCCCTTTTGTTTATTTTCATTTTCAGGTCAACTTAAATTTTTCTAAAGAAAAAAGTTTACCAGGATCCAGTATCGATCTTCAAGTCTCGGCTGCTTCAAACTCTCTCTGTGCTCTTTGGGCTGTAGACCAGAGTGTATTGCTACATAGGAATTATGGTCAGCTATCGGCACAAAGTGTGAGTGATAAAAGCCACTTTTGTTCACAACCAACGGTATAGCTTTATGTCTTTACCTTTGGATAAAAACAGGATACCTTAAATAGACTAGAAAAGAAAGAAGTTGGCCAGAGTTCCAAGCATAAAAAATATTTTAGGTTAGAAATCATGTAAAAGGACTCTACTCCAATTGTACTAATTCTCCAATAGAAAAAGTGAGTAACACTTTTAAAAATAAGTAACAGTTGCTAAATGTCTACTGTTTAACACTTACTCTAGTGAATATTCCCATATCTATTATCTAATTTTAATCATATTAATCAACCCTATAGAACTGATGCAGTATTCCCATTTTGACTAATGTCTACTCTTAGGCTTAGGGAGATTTAGTAAATTAACCGAGAGCATTGTCTAACAGTGTCCTTGAATGAGTCCGCAAAGAATATTGAGCAGTGCCTTTATCTGGACTGTATTAAAATCCAATTGAATCTCATGTATTTTTTTGTTAGTTTTAATGTGATTTAGCCAGCAATTATTTAACTGATTAAATAGTATGTCCAAGTTTTTATAGATCTAAGATCCTATACTTTCTCAAAATGTGTTTCTATGGTATTGGTATTATGACAATTTTACATAGGATATTCACAGGATTATATAGGTTATTTATACACTGCTTGCATGGAGAAATGAATTGTTTCCTATAAAAATTACAGTTGGGTTAGGCATGGTGACTCACTCCTATAATCCCAGCACTTTGGGAGGCTGAGGCGGGTGGGTCACAAGGTCAGGAGATGGAGACCATCCTGGCTAACACGGTGAAACCCCATCTCTCCTACAAATACAAAAACAATTATCCTGTCATGGTGTCACACGCCTGTAGTCCCAGCTACTCGGGAGGCTGAGGCAGGAGAATTGCTTGAACCAGGGAGGTTCAGGAAGGTTGCAGTGAGCGGAGATCATGCCACTGCACTGCAGACTGGGCAACAGAGTGAGGATCCATTTCAAAAAAAAAAAAATACAGTTGATTCTCTTCTGCCATCTAGGTGTATAGTAAGCTATATTCCAGGGAACTACATGGCTACTATTTCAAAGGACTTAACTTAGAAGATGGCCTTAAAGTGCCGTGTCTTAAAGATGAACATGTCCTTTACAATGGAATTTATTACACACCTGCGTGGGCAGACTTCGGAAAAGATGCCTATGACCTTGTGAAGGTAAGACAACTATGTCTTAAAATGGTGAATGTATGTGACAATATATAAATAAATAGAAATATTCATGGTGTGGGTTTTTAATCTAAGAATTTAAGCTTAGAGTACTAATTTATAATTATTACTAATGTCTGATAAATAATATCTCAAAGAATAGTGTATTAGCAAAAAACTAATAAATTTCTTATATTATAGTTATAATTATATGATAAAGTTATAATAAAGTTTTTATTTTATATAGTTATAATAAACTATAAAGTTATAATATATTTTTAAAAGTTATAGTAATATACTTTTATTTAAGTAATTATAAAGTTATAAATGATAATAGTTATAATAAGGTTATTATAACTATTTAAAGTGTTTACAAGTGAGATACTATCCCTAGTTCAACAAAAATGCCAAATTCAAAGTAGTGAAAGTGTAGTGGGATATTAGATATCTTTTTTGTCCTTCCTTACTTAAAGGTTTTAATCAACTGCTCTTAATTAGGAAAATAGAGCAAAAGCCATTAGAATTAGAGAAACTAAGGAACTCAGAGACATGAAATTTAGGAAATGTCAGTGAAGTATCTCTACATATATGACAATTAGAGATGGAGAAATAAATAAGTGAAAATTGAAAATATGCATAAAAGAAAAAATCGGTCCAAGCTGTTAGTCTATATTGATCTATATTGATAAGTGATCTACACTTGATTTTATCTTGAAAGGCAATGGGATTAAAGATTTTTACCAACTCTCACCTCCGGAAGCCAGTATTATGCAAGGATTCCAACCATCCTCACTATGCTGATTACGTTTCCTTAGGTAAGTCGCAGTATAATATGAAGGGCAGGTGACAGGTTATGACCTCTTAATGCTTTTAAACTGATCCGGAAAAGACGGGAGGTCATTGTTTTCTTTTGCTTCGTCTTTTAATTCATTTAATGTGCCTGTCATATCAGATGTTAGAAATACAGTGAGAAACATGCAGGTAATACTCATGAAGTTTACATTGAATTTGGGATGCAGACAATATACAAATGACTGCATATTGTCATTTGTGTATTTCTTGTGTTGCTATAAAAAAGTACTTGAGGCTGGGTAATTTGTAAAGAAAATAGGAGCCAGGTACAGTGGCTCATGCCGGTAATCCCAGGACTTTGGGAGGCTGAGGCGGGCAGATCATCTCAGGTCAGGAATTTGACACTAGCCTGGCTAACATGGTGAAACCCCGTTTCTACTAAAAATACAAAAAGTTAGCCTGATGTGGTGGCGCACACCTGGAATCCCAGCTACTCAAGAGGCTGAGGCAGGAGAGTCACTTGAACCAAGGAGGCGGAGGTTGCAGTGAGCCAAGATCATGCCATTGCACTCCAGACTGGTCAACAAGAGGAAACTCCATCTCAAAAAAAGAAAAAAAAAAAGAGAGAGAAAAAAAGAAAATAATTGAATTGGCTCACAGTTCTGCAGCCTGTACAAGCAACATGGTGCTGGCATCTGCTCAGTTTCTGGGGAGGCCTCAGAAACCTTGCAGGCATGAAAGATGAGGGGGAGCAAGTGTCTCACATGGCCAGTATGGGATCAAGAAGAGGAGAGGTGTCACACACTTTTAAACAATCAGATCTCACAAGAAGTCACTGACTATTGCATGAACAGCACCAAGTGATGGAGGATCCGCCCCCATGACCCAAACGCTTCCTGCCAGGCCCACCTCCAACACTGGGAATTACATTTCAACATGGGATTTGAGGAAATAAATATTCAAACTATATCAATGGCATAGTTTCAGATCGTAATAAGTGCTCCAATAGTTCATCTTTACTGAATGGTTGCTACATGCCAAGCAATGTTCTAAGCATTTTACAAATGTTAACCCATTTATTCATCACAGTCTATAGATTAGAAGCTATTATCTGCAATTTATCAATAAGAAAAATGAAACTTAGGCAGGTTAAGTAACTTGTCCAATGCAACAGATGCTGAATAACAGAGATGAGATTATAATCCAGGCGTTCTGATCCCAAAGTCTATGTTTCTCTATCATGAGATACTACCTCTCAAAGAACTACTGTAAAGAAAATAAAACAAGATAAAGAAAAAGAGCAGAACATCAGGATGCTATTTTAAATAAGATAGAGAAAACCTCTATGAAGAAGTGACCTTCAATCAGAAACCTGATCAAAGACTGTACAAAACAGCCTGGTATATTTAAAAATAGGCAAAAAATATAAAGGCACAATGTAAAGAAGGGGAACCAAATAGATAAGAACTGTAAGAAGAAATATTTAACTTCACTAATAATCAGAAACAATTTAAATGAACATCAAGAAACCAGTTAACACCTACGCCAATGGTGAAAAGAAAGAAAAATCAAATGGTAATTGTTATTCAAACAAGGCAAATGGGAGCACTGTGTGTACTGCTAATGGGATTATAAGCTTGTACAGACATTGTGTGGGGTCTTATAGTACTTATTAGGCATATACCTTCTAACACAGCAATCAAACTTCTTGGCGTAAACACTAAGGCCTACAACCCAAGTAAACGAGGACACGCACGCTGTGTAATATTTGGTGCGTTGCTGGTTGCGCTAGCATGTAATGAAGATAAGCTAGGTGACCATGACTAAAAGATGGGTTAAGTACTATGTGGTGAGTACAGGCTATGGAATATTGGGAAGCACCAAGAAATAACATAAGTAAATTTTGAGAATGAAGTTTTAAGTGGGAAAAGTAAGAAATATAGTAATGGCTAAATTGTAAGATCATTTGTATGAGTTTAAAAGAAACTCAATAAGCAAAATTACATATTGATGAAAAACATATACAGATCCAGGGTAAATACAAAATACATTTGAGTGCTGGAAAATGAAGAGGAGGGATGCCTCAGGAAGAGGGGAGAAGATAATATTTAAATATTTATAAATTACATGTATTATATATTTATATATATAAAATATTAAAATATATATTATATACTATAATATATATTTTAAATATATTATATATAATATGTATAATATACATATATTTGTTTATTCATAAATATAAAGATGGGTGAAAATTAGGAAAAAAAAATCAACACAGATCATAGTCTGTATACAAGGTTATTCCTAAAACCAGCAAATAACTAATAGCTCTAGCTAGCACTGATTTGCAGTAATCCTGAACAAATTCAATAGGCCAATATTAAGTGCTGAAACTGTGCAACCCAATTGTGATTGAGACCAGAAATAAACCATTATACCTCTACACATGATGGGGTCTGGAACTGTGGAATAGCTGCAGGCCCACAGCCAAATCTGGGAATAAAGAATCATAAGGCTGTTGCAATTTAAAGCTTACCTGTGCAATCTCCTATTGAATCAGTTCTCACAGTGAAGCCTTATAGACCTCTAAGCAATATTTACACTTTTAAAGACTGTGAAAGATGGTACGTGGACAGTAACCCAGGGAATTTACATTGGAGGCTAAATGGGCAACTGGGTAATAAGAAAAATAAATTAAAATGAGCATTATATTATTAAGATATTCAGATGAAATGGGAATTGGTGGTAGAAGTCAAGGGAAAGTTGATTTTATTTTTAATCTTTTAATTATTGTATAGGATAGTGTATTTGCATATTACTTGTATAATGTATTTTTAGGTACAATATGACAAAATAGCTCTGATAGGTTATTTCAGGGATGAATAATTTATAATATCTTAATTTTTAATAAACATCTGTGAAATATTCATATATTATTCACCAAACATAAGATATATCTACATGGACTTCTAAAGCTTTTTCAAAGATTATTATGAAGATTGAATGAGTTTATATATTAAAAAACATTTTCAGTCATGACTGAGAAATAGCAATAATTCAATAAATGATGGCTACTATTATTATTAAATTTTGCCCTCGGGCCAGGCGCGGTGATTCACACCTGTAATCCCAGCACTTTGGGAGGCTGAGGTGGGTGGATCATGAGGTCAAGAGGTCGAGACCATCCTGGCCAACAGGGTGAAACCCCGTCTCTACTAAAAATACAAAAATTAGCTGGGCATGGTGGCGTGCACCTATAGTCCCAGCTACTCGGGAGGCTGAGGCAGGAGAATTGCTTGAACCCGGGAGGCGGAGGTTGCAGTGAGCAGAGGTCGCGCCACTGCACTCCAGCCTGGCGCCTGGTGACGGAGTGAGACTCTGTCTCAAAAAGAAAAAAAATTTTGCCCTCAAAACATAACTTCACTTGTTAAGAAGTTAAATTTGACTTTTTAGATATGAAATAGCTAATTATTTTTTATGTTGCTTTGCATTCCTCCAGATAAAATTTTACTTTTTTAAAGTTTTATTTTATTTTTAATTAATAGATAATAACTGTATATATTTATAAGGTATAATGTGATGTTTTAATACATTTAATACATTATGTATTGTTAAATGATCACATCATTGCTAATTAGCATTTCCATTAGTGCAAATATTTATTTTCTTTATATTTTCTTTATATTTGTATAGAGGCTACAGATTTAAAGATTGGGAGTAAATTTTACGGTGAAACTCTGAGAAAATCATTTCCTGAAACTTGGGTTTGGAATCTTATTACAACTGAGTGAGTATTTTTAATTGCATTTTTTGTTGTTTAATTTTTCTTTTTATCTGAGTAAAAGACAGTAGTTGCATTTGCCAGCCTTATGGAAATAAATGTGTCCAAAAGACTGAAAACTAAAAGAGTGTGCAGCACCTGTGATAGGATTATAACTTCTCTTTTTTCGTCCTTTCACTTTCTCCTTTTATTTTTTCTTTTATTATTATTTTTTCAATTTATTTTATTGCATTTTAGGTTTTGGGGTACATACATGTGAAGGACATGCAAGATTGTTGCATAGGTACACACGTGGCAGCGTGATTCGCTGCCTTCCTCCCCATCACCCATATTTGGCATTTCTCCCCATGCTCTCTCTCTCCCCAACTCCCCACCCCCCGCTGTCCCTCCCCTATTTCCCCCCAACAGACCCCAGTGTGTAGTGCTCCCCTCCCTGTGTCCACGTGTTCTCATTGTTCAACACCCGCCTATGAGTGAGAACATGCTGTGTTTGATCTTCTGCTCTTGTGTCAGTTTGCTGAGAATGATGGTTTCCTTATTTCTTTTTCTTATTTTTGTCACTTATTTATTATTATAATTTTGAGACAGAGTCTCAGTCTGTTGCCCAGGCTGGAGTGCAGTGGCGCAATCTCGGCTAACTGCAACCTCTGCCTCCCTGGTTCAAGTGATTCTCTTGCCTCTGCCTCCCAAGTAGCTGGGACTACAGGCACATGACACCATGCCCAGCTAACTTTTGTATTTTTAGTAGAGAGGGGTTTTACCATATTGGCCAGGCTGGTCTCAAACTCCTGACCTTATATCACTTATGTTTTATAAGAACTTGGATATTGTTGGAAGAAAAGTTGTATGAGAGACTTAAAACAGACTGAAATTTTTGTTATTGTTGTATGACATGATGAACATCATACTCAGCAAATACATATGGAGGTAAGGGAGAAAGAAAGGGGAGAAAAGAAACTCTAAAAGAGGAAGAAAAAAGGAAACAATGAAGAGGAGGAAGAAGAGGAGAAAAGGAGGTTGGAAAAAAATAAATTTCTAAGTAGGTGCCATAAAAATTTCAAGTAAAGGATAATGTGCACACTCTAAACTTAAAAACCGTGTAATATGGCTCATGTTCCTATACTTATCAGTAAAGTTAAATAAATGTGATAGCAATTACTTACAAGTAAACTAAAACAAACTGCTAATTTACGTATTTTGAGAACATTAAATGAGTCATTAATTTATGTCTCCTGCTCCCTCAAACATTGCCAAATATTTTGGTGTTGAAGACCACTCACAGTGTCTACTGGTAACAAAAGACAGAAATACACAGAGATGAAACTATCTTTCTCAGTGTTTTCTAAGAAAGTAAAAGATTAATGCCTATGTCAAGTATTTAAACAGTTTATAATTTTTCAGGGATTATAAGAAAAGACATAATATCATAAATTTAAAATAGAATTAAAAGATGAGATCTCAAAATGAAGAAACAGTAGAGTCAAAGATGACTCAAAGGGAAGGAAAGCTTATGCACTGGACACAAAAGCTTACAGTGTAGCTTCTTTACAGATAAGGCATGACATAGAGCTAAACAGAGGAAGAATGGGGTAAAGAAAAGAGAATTTGCCTCTTGTAGTTTAGCAAACTGTCGAACAGTCAAAGGAAGAAATATAAAGGTCCAAGAAGTGATATGATCTAATTACACATGTGTTGTATGGTGACAGCTTCTCTCTGACTCTGTATGCTATCTCCTTTATTAGCTCCGCGGGTGCAGCCAACCTTAAGCTTACTGTTCCGGATACCATCACACAATGGAAAGCCAGCGGATTCTGCATGAATGACAAAGCTGGCTTTGGCCTCTCACCAACTGTCTCCATGACAGCTTTTCAGCCCTTCTTTGTGGACCTCACTCTGCCCTATTCGGTGATCCGAGGAGAAGCATTTACTCTGAAGGCCAATGTCTTCAACTACCTGAACAGATGTATTCAGGTACCAGCTCTTCTTATAATAGCAAGTTCTTCCCTATGTAAATTATCTTCAGATATTGGTTGTCTGATGATCAGAACCTGGTAAGAACTTGTTTTGCCTTCCTAAGTTTTCAAAAAATGTTAACAAGCTCTGCCAACCACTCAATGTGTGGTTTAGAAGTATAAATTCTTATATCTAGGTGGCTGGCTGAACGTAAAAGAACTTAAGACAAGCTCTGTGGTGTAAGTTAGTTTTCATTATTGTGTGTGAGGGGAGGGTCAGTGGAAATGATTGAGTGATAAGATCCCTAGAACTCTTGATTCTTCAACATATTCAATAATTTTATGTATAAGACCCTTTCGAAGCAGAAGGACTTGTGAATAATTAAGCTGGATATGATCAAATTAGATTAGCAAATTAGATTTTAAGTATCTTTGGGATACTTAAGGATACATGACAGCATAGAGGTCTCACAGGCCCTTGAGAGCTGGCCAATAGCTGTGGAAAAAAAAAACCCAGCAATTTCACAACAGAAAAAGCACAACCATTTATACCTAGGTTCGTATCTTGGTTTTTAGACTGTCTAGTTCTGTTGCTTTGAACAAGGTACTACCCTCCACCAGCCTCCGTGTATCAGCTGTAAAATGGTGTTAATAATACATATTTGGCTGGGTCCTTATGAAAGTTGAATGAGCTAATGTAAATCATGAGCCTTACACAATACACTGCAAATAATAGGCATTCGCGTTTGTTCCCCTTCTCTTTTACCTAAATAACAAATTTCAACTAGATCTATAATAATAATTTGGCCTTTAATGGTTGCATTAGCTCATCTCTTTCGATGATTTTCAATATAATGTGATCCACAAACCCAGCCTTTTGTTGACGTCCAATTATTTGGTGAACATGAGTAGAGAGTAGTGACAACATGACATATCCAAAGCGCCAAGTAGTAGACCTAATCAGCATATTTTACTTTAAGCGATACAGTTTATTTTTAAAAATCAAGCAGGCAGAACTACTCAGTTTATTAGAAAGCTATTTTTTTAGGAAAAAAAATACATTTTTTCATATTTAGGAAAGTTTGTTTTTGCTTCCTTGTTAGTAAAATTTTTATGTGTAAGCCTGAGTTGTGATACTTTCTTCTAGACGCTTCATATCTGTTATTTGCTGTAGCACACACAACTGTGAGCTATAGATGACAATGGCCTCAATTTACAGAAAAGAAAAAGTAAACAGGCTCCTAAGAGCTTATGATAACTTGGTCAACCCAAATTGGCCACAACATCTGCTTATTCTGCTGTAGTTCTATAAAGTAATGCATTATTATATAAGACCAAAGTACTGGTTTTTCAAAGTAATTAGTCACTACGTGCCAAAGGTCGAATTATAACTATGTAAGAAGACTTTGAAGGGCTCCCCGTGGTTTGGAAACCATTCTTTCCACAGCAGAAAATATGAATGGTAGGGAGCTTCCTTTCTAACTTCTCAGCCATGCATGACTATGCATGTTTATATATGGAAAAGATTAAATCCTTCTTCTCTCTCCTTCCTTATCTGACCCTCACAGGTAAATACAGTACTGAGAGCATCTAGTGATTACCAAGCCAGACTTCTCTCAGCTGAACATGAAAATATTTGTATATGTGGCAATGAGAAAAAATCCTTTACTTGGCTGGTTACCCCCAAAACACTGGGTAAGATTTGCAGTTATTATATGTCTTTACAGCCTTTTGTAAATCCCCCTAAGAGTTCATGTCGGACTATTTCTCTATGTAAGCAAGTTACCCGTTACTTACCACCATCGCTTATCCATTCTTTCATTCCTTATGACAGTACTCTTTCACAGCCCAAGACCAATATGCCTGGGGACAGGGGTGGGGAGTTGAAGTCAAGTCTTGACTTTAAGAGTTCTTATTTTCCATGTCATATTTTATTCTCTTCCCTGTCGAATTTCGATTATTTTAACAATTTACCTCTACATAGAGTTCAAAATAATTTCTGCCTCCTTGTATCTTCATTTGAATAACTTCCATTTACATTTTCTGCCGCTTAAGGTACAGTCAACCTCACTGTCACTGCTGAAACCCTCCAAAATAGTGGCTGCAGGAATGGGTCATCCACAGCTCCAGACATTGGCTGGCGGGATACACTGATCAAATCCTTGCTGGTAGAGGTATGGCCTCAGGGTAAAACTTATGGGCCTCGAGGAAAACAGCCTGTCTGTATTTCAAAGGTTTATCTCCATTAAGAAGTGTGAAGTATAGCTTTCAGAGCCCATGGAAATAGGAGTGAACCACTTATCCAAAGATAAAACACAGTATTTTGATCAAACATTTGGAAAACAGGGCCAAAGACAGACATTTCATCCACTCATGCAAAGAATATTTTAAGTCAACTGTACAGTATTCTTGAAGTAGAGTGACAGAACTTTGGAGCCTAAAGGATCTTTATGAAAATCCTTGCCTTTCATTTTGGTAACACAGCTTATTGTATAGCATACAAAATCGAATGGTTCATTTCTGTATTCTCTTGGGCTTAATAACTCATAGCTTCACTATCTGGAATACATTTTGAAGGTGATTTGTTCTATTTAGGCATTATTAATTTATGAATATGCTGAATATTCAGAATATTGTTGATCTATGAAATTAATTATGACTACTTTCTTTTCTCCTTCCAACAATTAGCCTGAAGGTATTGAAAAGGAGATGACACAGGGCTCACTTATTTGCACAAATGGCAAGTAGATCCCTTCACATAGTTTTGCTGACATGGCAACATTGAATGAAAGTTTTGTCTTTGTTTTAGAATGCAGGGTTTTATTATTTATCTTCTCAGAACATGGCTACTGGGAAAGATTAAATTACTTTCAAGTAATAAAATTTAATAATTCCACAAGCCAAAGCAAATTTTAAACTTTTAGTTCTTTCTTATCGACTGTTCCCTCGTTCAGGTACTCAAGTATCCTTGACTTTAACCCTTATCTCCACCTCTTCATTTCTCCCCATCCAAACCTTAATTTTGTCATTAAATAATAACTATGATTCTAAAAGTTCTGTCAAAAGGCCCCAACCAGGGAAAAATTTTCTCTACCTAATGTATATCATTTCCAGAACTTTCTCTTATCCTCCCACCTCTGAGCCAAATTCTGATAAGTCTTTTTTTTCTGATTACTACATCTTCTGATGTTCATTACCTATCTGGGGCTTTGTTTCACATCCATTGCCTGAAACTATTTCTGTTTTCATCACTGCAACAATTAATTGCCCTACAAATAGTAGCAGACTGCAACAGGATTTATTTCTATTATCTAATGTATTTTGCTTTTGCCACTATTTATTGGTTTGAATGTTAGAAATACTAGAGACTCCTATAGTTAAGAGAAGCCAGAGATCTCATTTTATTTTCCAATATTTTGTCACCTTAAGGAGCATATTCAGGTAGTGAAGTGTTTTAATACCATGAAAATTACATTGAACCCAGTTCGAAAGCACTGGGTTCAGATTCAGTGTTTTATTACTTATAATTAGGTGATGTCCCAAATTTATTTTCTTTTGGCCTAAGCATACTCTTCTATACCAAGGCAGGAAAAGCACCTGGTGTGTTCATCCTATAAGTTGTTTTGTGAAAATCCAATTGAATAATATGTGCAAAAGTAAATTGGAATGTACTTACCAAAGTTAAGGTTTTATTATATGTTATATTGTAACTGTGAAGAGTTTAAGTAAATATGATTAGCTGTAATTATAGGAATCTTTTTGACCTTTTTTCTGATTATTTTAGAGGGGAAAAGGCAATAAGTAGACATGAAGTGATTTACTAATCAAGAAGATAAATTATAATCAAAGTCAAAATCATGGACTTTAAAATATATGAGAGATCTGAATTAATATTTTCACTTTGCTGTTTCCTAGGATCCACAGTATCTCAACCAGTAGTGCTAACTTTACCAGATAATCTTGTAAAAGATTCACCTAGAGCCTACTGGTCTGTCCTTGGTAAGTCTGCAAAGCATTATAATACATAAGCTTGGAAAGAAGAGAAAAATTTTACCTATTTCTGCCATGGTTCTGTTTTGTCATCTTTTTAGACTCCATTTCTATCCTTAGAATTTTATAATTGAGGTTGGTACATATGACTAAATACTCAACCACATGAAGAAATTAAGCGTCAGAGGCTCCAAAGCACACACTCACTTTCCTTTCTTAAAGGCCATTTGATCTCCGAACATACAAATTTACTCCTGTCATTAGCATTTCTGGCTAATGTCTCATTTAAGCCTACCTCAGTAAAGAAAAACTTTGATGCTTTCTCACAGATGAGTGATTTTTACAGCACAGCATGCTGAACTGGTTAACACTGATATTTCACTCCTTTTGCACTGAAATTGTACAGACAGGTAGGAGCTAACAGCGTTCCACACAAAGGCAACGGTCCCTGTGGGACAATGACCAAAGCCAGGCAAAGCTTCTTACTCGTAACTCACAGGCCCTGTAAGCCTGGAACCCCAGTAACATGCCCGCAACTGGACAAGCTTGAGGATAATAGGAACAACTGTAAGACAGGTTTTGACATCGAAGCATGAAATGTATGCCAAAATTAAATAGAATATATTCCTGTCATTGTTTCCTTGTTAAAAAGCGAGAACTGCTTTCTTGTTCATTCAAGATTTCAAAGATAGTTACCTCCATGATTTATTTCTATCATTTTTAAAAGCAATTCTGGACTGTTTAGGCCCTGCCTTCTAATCATCATCAATATACAGCCCAGATTAAAGACTTAACATGGATATCTAAAGAATACTGTACAGTGGAAAAAACGTACAGTAGAAGAAGTATAGACCAGAAAAATACTCATGACGGAGGGGACAAACACTCATTTTACATCAAGAACATCTTCCAGTGTCAAAACCAAAGAAGAGCTGGGCTTACCTGAGCTTTTGACTTTGAGCAAATAAGTCTCGTTACCAAAATGATGTCCAACAAATATAAGTCACAGATGCTGCGCTATTATATCCAGCGCCGACATTCTAAACCCTTCTTATTTTTAGGGTACTTAATAGCAAATGGCTCAATTTTCATCTATTTAATGAGCTGTTGAATTCAATTTGCCAGTATTTTGTTGAGGATTTGGGGGGTTTATATTCATCAGGGATCTTGGTCTGTAGTTTTCTTTTCTTGGAATGTCCTTCTCTGGCTTTGGTGTCAGAGTAATATTAGATTTGTTAAATGAATTTGGAAGTATTACTTTGATTTTTTGGAAGAGCGTGGCAACAATTGATATTAGTTCTTTAAATATTTGGGATAATTCAGCAGGAAAGCCATCCAGTTTGGGACTTTTATTTGATGGGAGACCTTTAATTATTGATTAAATCTCCTTACTCATTATTATTACTCTGCTCAGATTTTTTATTTATGGTTCAGTCTTAGTAGGTTATCTGTGTGTAGGAATGTATCTACTTCTTCTAGATTATCAGTTTGATGGCATATAATCATTCCTAGTAGTTTTGTATGATCCTTTGTATTTCGGCGGTATCAGTTTTTTTTTCTTTTTTAAAATTTTTGTTTCGTTTTGTTTTGTTATGTCTGTGGTATAAGTTCTAAGGTTTTGTCCTTCATTTATGTTCCTATTTATTTTAGTCTTCACGCTTTTTTTCTGATCCTAGGTAATGGCTTGTTGATTTCATTTATGTTTTCAAAAAACTAGTTTCATTGATTTTTTTCTAGGCTCTACTTTATTTATTTCCGTTCTGATCTTTGTTATTTATTTCCTTTTGCTACCTTTGGGCTTAGTTTGTTCTTTTTCTAAAAAACAGTGTTACACCTTTCCTTAAAGTGTAACATTAGATTATTTATTCGAGATAATTCTTCATTTTTGATATAGCAGTTTATTAAGATAAATTTTTCTCTGCAGATTGCGTCTGCTGTATCCCATAAGTTTTAGTATGTTGTATTTCCATTTTCTTTTGTATCAAGGTATTTTTTTATTTCCCTTATGATTTCTTCCTTGACCCAGTGGGTATTCAGGCATGTGTTCAATTTCTACCTATTGTGAATTTTCTTCCTGTTATTTATTTCTAGTTTCATACCCTTGTGATTCAAAAAGATACCTGATATGATGTCAGCCTTCAGCCTGTAGAAGTTCTTTACAGAGGCAATGCATAGTGGTTAAGAGAACTGACTTTCCCAGAAGGCTGCGTCGAATCACATATTCACTACTTGCTGTGTCACTTGGGAAAATTGCTCAACCTCTTTGTGTCTCATTTCTTCATCCCTTAAGTGAAGATAATGGTATTACTTATTTCATAAGATTGTTATAAAAATTAAATGAGTTAAGATGCTTAGACGTCTCCAGATAAGTAGTAAGTGCTACACAACTATTAGGTACTGGTGGAAAGTGTGTAGGAAGGTGGTCAAGTCCAAGTACTCCGAAACTCTATTTTCTGTGCTTAGTTCCTGACTCTGCTGTGTCTTTTCTGGATGATGCTGGGAGAAGTTTCAGCCTCTCTGTGCCTCAATTTTATTACAGATGAGAAAAATAGTACCCATTTGTATTATTATTATAAGCATTGAATGAATTAATATGAGCAGAGTGCTCAGAACAGTATCTGATAAATGGTAAACATTTTATAAAGGCTTATTTTGGGCCCAAAGTCTACTGTTTTTGAATTAGTGGTGGACTTGGAGTTTTCTATTTCACCCGGGGAGCTCTCAAGAAGTGTTGATTCCCACAAACTTTTGGGTTCTTCTGCTCTTGGCTGTGCTGCTTTGGATAACATATCTCCACTGTAGTTCTGAAAGCAAGGCCCTGAGGTGTCTTGCTGATTCTATAGTGTGGGCCCAACAAATAGAAGAGAAAGTAAAATCCAGATAATATTAAAAATAATCATTTTGAATATCTATGACATAGAGATCTTGAATACAAACTAATATTCTTTATCTTATCAATTTTTATAAAGTCCCTCATATTGATTTGATTGATTTTTCAGGAGACCTTCTTGGTTCTGCCATGCAAAACTTACAGAATCTTCTTCACCTTCCTTTTGGTTGTGGAGAGCAGAATATGGCCCTATTCACTCCCAACATTTACATCTTGGACTATCTGAGTCAGACACAACAACTGACAGAAGAGATCAAATCCAAGGCTATTGGATACCTGACCGCAGGTAAAGCATTTAGAAGCTTTATTTTGCTTAACTCAGTGAAATCCCTGAATCCCGGCTGTTTTGCTTGTTAAGTACATGAATGTATTTGTCTATATGTATACATCCACTTATAACTAACACAGATATTCAACTTATCCAACTTCTTCTGGATGATTCCTTTTAGTTTGAAAAATAATATCTCTTCTTGTTTTAGGATATCAGAGGCAGCTGTCTTATAAACACTTAGATGGATCATATAGTACCTTTGGACATAAAGATCAACATGGACATACATGGTTTGAATGTTTATTATTTATATCAGTTTAACTAATTGTTTCTAATTACTTCTTATCTACTTATTTTTTTCAAGTGATTTTTGTGAATTTTATAAAAACTATGGATCTTCCCCCACAAACTACATAAACAAACTTCCACACACATATGTACATTCTTTTAGCAGGATTCTTGGGCTCTTGGATTAAGGACTTATGGTATGGTATTTTTATCTTTTACTTACAAAACTATATATACATGATAAATAAGCAAATTATTAGGCAAAGTAATTCAATAGAGCAGGATAAAAGTATTGAAACTACATTTATTATATAAGCAAATTATTCCAATGAAAAAATCATATCCCAGCCTAACCTAAAGATAGCTTCAAGATTGTTTATGATAACTGATAGTACCACCCAGAAATCATGTTGTGTGGCTATGAATCCTCTTAATGAGACATTAAAAACCCATATGGGAGCAGAGCCGTAGTTGCTGCAAATGGTGAAATAAGTACTGAAACCAAAATAAATTAAGCAAAGATTACATTATTATTGTAAGCCTAAAAGACAGGGTGATCCATGAGATGCTAGTTACATTTTAAACTTTATTCCTTATATTATTAACTTTTATTTACAAATACATATTCACCTCTAGCTGCTATATCCTGGGAACAGTAATACATCCCTGAGATATAAGAAGACAAATGCTAGTTTTAATCATCATTACTGTTTCTTTTCTAATTGAGGATAGTAAATCTCCATAATAACCCAGTGAAGCAGATAGCATCATAACACTCATTGTACATATAAAGAAACAGAAACACTATGTATTAGTTTGCTAGGTACCATTAAAAAGTACCACAGACCAGATGGCTTAAACAACGGAAATGTGTTTTCTTATGATTCTGGAAGCCAGAGATTCAAGATTAAGGTGTTAGTAAGGTTGATATTTTTTCTGAGTCTGTCTTCTGGGCTTGGACATGGCTGTCTTCTCCCTGACTTCTCATGGTCTTATCTCTGTGCATATCTGTGTCCACATTTCCTCTTCTTGTGAGGACAGCAGTCATATTGGATTAGAGTCTACTAAAATGAGGTCATTTTAACTTACCTCTTTGAAGACTCTATCTTTAAAAACAAGTCGAATTCTGAAGGTACTGAGGCTTCGGGGTTCAACATATGAATTTGAGTGAGGGGGTAACACAATTCTGCCCGTAACCCACAGAAAGGTTAAATAATTTGTGCAAGTTCATGTTGCCAATTTTGTGGCAGAACTTGAATGTCTGTTCCAGAATGTGAGCTTTCACTCACTACATTATTTTGCCTCTTGATAGTGCATGATCCTTGACTCTGGGAAGTGTAGAATATAGTGGGTAAAGGCAAGTTAAAAAAAAAAAGTTAAAACACAACGTGATGAAAGTTGTAATAAAAATATGCGCATGATACTGTGGAAGTATATAGGCACGGCAACTTTTCCATCAACTATATGAGGATATGTTTGGACCAAATGCAATGCATATTCACACATGGATAAATCTGACAGTGTTTACCTGTTAGGAATGCCAGTTTACAATGGAGAAGTTAACTAAGCATAAACTATAGCTCCTGTTTGGATGAGCCATTTAAACCCTGTAGACCTCGGGTTATCATGAAATGATAAGGCACACATACCTCATCTTGGCCTCTGAAATATTCTTCTAGTTACAACATTCTATAATTTCCCAATAAGCTGTTAGATGTTGAGAGAGAACAAGTGCAGGAATTCTAGTTTTGCTACAGATTGAGATAAAAGAATCTGGAAAGACATTATAGAGAAGGTATCTCCTCGTTGAGGACATGAATGATGAATTCAGAGAAAGAGGAAGAGAGAATTTAAGTCGAATGGATGGAGACTTGATTTAAGTTATTAATCAGCAATATGTAAATTATTACCAAATCGGTAATATACAAATTAAACAAATCAGTAATATGCAATTTAATAAAATATTATTCATATTTCAACAACTCATAAATAATATTCATTAATATTTTGGCAATATTTTCCTTCATTCTTTTTCTCCTGTGCTTTATAAACATAACTGGGATTATCCTGTATGAGACTTTAGTCTTCCTTTTTCAAAACCTAACATTATTTATAATAACTTTGCCATGTCACTAGAATAACTGAAATCATCCTTCAAGCCAAAGGGCTGGCTGGATGGACACACTTGGCTAAAACTTGAGAAAGGGATTTTCAGGATGTGAAACTAAAAAATCTAACTGAAACAAGTCACACTTTTCTTTTTGTTGAGACAGAGTCTCACTCTGTTGCCCAGGCTGGAGTGCAGTGGTGTGATCTTGGCTCATTGCAGCCTCCACCTCCCAGGTTCAAGCAATTTTCTTGCCTCAGCCTCCCAAGTAGCTGGGACTACAGGCGCCTGCCACCAAGCCTGGCTAATTTTTGTATTTTTAGTAGAGACAGCGTTTCAACATAGCAGCCAGGCTGGTCTCGAATTCCTGACCTTGTGATCAGCCTGCGTAGGCCTCCCAAAGTGTTCAGATTACAGGCGTCAGCCACCGTGTCTGGCAAGAAGGAAGTCACACATTTTAATGAGAATTCACCTGCCTCTCAATGGTTGTTATAATATGGACTGTATATCATTTTTTCCAGGCTCACTGCATTTGTTTACAAGTCATTTGCACAGGCTAAACGCTACATTTATATTGATGACAAAGTTCAATCCCAAACCCTTATTTGGCTCTCAAATATTCAGAAACCGGATGGCTGCTTCCTGAATTTTGGCAAAGTCTTCAACAATGCTTTGAAGGTACTGAAGAAATTCTACCTTACAGTTTCCTGTTCTTTTATCATAACTGTTTAGTGAATCCCAAAGTACTACTGAAGAAATTGGTAAAAATTATTGAACTGGAATTTTGGTAAAAATTATTGAACTGGAATTTCTATTAGCATAAACGAATTATCCTGAAAACCAATAAAATGTTTCTTTATAGCAAATGGAACATTTTCTTTCCTTCAATCAGGTTAAAACCTCTAGAAGATTCTAACAGTAATTGTGGTGACCGGGGGCAGGGTGCAGTGACAAGATGATTAGTAAAGTGTGAATGAAGAAATAACAGAATCTGGATAATTCTTAATAGTTTAGTGCTTTATAATTTAAGAAACTCTTTACTAATATTGTTTTATTATTAGAATTCAATTTGTTTCACTCTTACTTGCTAATATCCCTGAGTTAAGTGTTCATAATGAATATGTCTTTTATTTCTAAGGTTTTTTTAAAACTTATATTTTCTTCATAATTGTTATAGAAGTACTTATTTATTGAAAGTAGCTCGGAGATTTCATACAAGGAATTAACCAAAATATTATTCATATGTCAACAACTCAGAAATAATCACCATTAATGTTTTGGCAATATTTTTCTTCATTCTTTTTCCCAATGCTTTATAAACATAATTGAGATTATCCTGCATGAGTCTTTGATCTTCCTTTCTTGAAACCTAACATTATTTATAATAACTCTACCATGTCATTAGAATAACTTAAAAACATAAAATTAATAGCTCCCTATACATCATTGTATGAATAAATGAAAACTTGTTTATTACTCTTGCTTGAGTTTTTTTTTTTTTTTTTTTTTTCCCATTTATTTATCTTGCTTGAGTTTTAAGTAATGCTTAATAAACTCAACATAATGTTTTGTTTACATTCTTATATGTAAATGTGCCTCTCATTTACATTCTTACATGTAAGAATGTAAACATATAAGCTCATTGACTTAGAATAGCTACCTAAAAGTGTAATTTTTTTTATTATAATAATATATTTAGCTCGACATGTCCAAAATATGTCATCTCAACATGTAATTAATATAAAAATGTTAGCTAGGTATTCTTTTTGTCATAAAAGTGTAATTTTTTAACTACACAATATTGATTCTTTTAACATGTAGAGTATCTGATTCATAGCACTACTGCTAACTCTGAGTAATATAAGTATGAAAACAAAAATATTTGAAAATATGAAAAATATGTTTAATGTCTATTTTTGCATATAGGCTAATTGGTTCAAAAGTAAAATATTTTTCATATTTTTTTTCTGAGATGGAGTCTTATTCTGTTGCCCTGGCTAGAGTACAGTGAGACAATATCAGCTTACTGCAACCTCCGCCTCCCTGGTTCAAGCAATTCTTCTGCTTCAGCCTCCCAAGTAGCTGGGATTACAGGCATGTGCCACCACGCCCAGCTAATTTTTGTATTTTTAGTAGAGATAGGGTTTCACCATGTTGGCCAGGCTGGTCTCATTCACTTGAACCTCGTCATCCACCCACCTTGGCCTCCCAAAGTGCTGGGATTACAGGCGTGAGCCACCTCGCCCGGCCTGTATGATCATTTTTAGTTTAATTTTTCTCGTTTGTAATTGCCCTTTCATCTTTTGGAGCTAGTTTGATTTTCTTTATAACTAGTATTATTGACCTGCTAGAATTTATTTCAGTGTGTCACATAATTTATATATAATTTACTTCTATATTCTAAATAGTTCACCACTTATGCCACCTCTCGTTATTTAGTGCTTTCTGTTCCTACTGATTTTCGAGGCTAACTTCGTCATGTTGTTTTTATACTTGATATGATTTCTTTCTCCTCTACCTATTCTATTGATTGATCTGCTGCTTATAATTCTATAAAATATTTCTATTTTATACTATATTCTTTTAATCATTGTAATATCATAGCATACTTTTTTTTATGATACTTTTTATATTATTTCTAGGGTAAATATGAGGGTGAGAATTGAATTCGAACTTTGCAGAACATTCTCTCCGTCCTTCAATTCTAAATGCCTTTTGAGGCCCACACATTATTTCTACAAGTGATGTTCCCATTTCTATAAATTTTTCAGATTTTTGCTCACTATTTCCTAATTTTCATAAACAGTGTCTTTTGAGCATATGAAAAACTTCACCTCCCAAAAATGTAGGAAAAAGCAACCAATCTGAGATTTCAAATATATTAGATTTAGAAAAACCCTTCCTCTGAATTCCATAAGACTGACAAATTACCGTTACATTTCATTCAGGGAAAAGAAGATGATGACATCTCTCTAACTGCCTATGTTATCAGCGCCCTGCTTGAAGCTGGCCACCCAGTCTCGGTATGTAGCCCACTGGTGACACTTAGAACATTTTATGCCAACAATATAGTAATAGGAACTAGAACTATATGTTTGTAGCTACGGCATATGCTGAATAATGCTGAATCAATATCCTTCTGAATAGTCAAATTACACTGTGCAGATGGAACTATATAGAAATTAAAATGAATGTGTTACATTTGCCCTTTGAACATTTCAGCACAGACAAGATTCATTCCTGAGTTTCTTCCAGCAGTAATCATGTCTACATCTGTGTTTTTGTATGTGTTTTTGTGTGCACATTTGATTTTTTCTTTTTTAATCTTTGCAGTTTACGGTTATTCAAAAGGGCCTCCAGTGCATAGAGACCATATCTAGGGAGAGAGCTGTGACTACTTATGAACAGGCTCTCCTAGCCTACACTTATAGTTTGGTAGGCTATGAAGACAAAAGGGAATTCTTCCTCAGTGAGCTGAGCAAAAAAGCAAAAAAGGAAGGTGAGTGTTTTTAACCTTTCCTGGAGTAACATACAGGATAAGTAGAATGGTTCGCAATGGGATCATTATCATTCCCTCATGTTTCTTTTTTTTTTTTTTTTTTTTCCCCATTTATTTATTTTATTGCATTTTAGGTTTTGGGGTACATGTGAAGAACATGCAAAATTGTTGCATAGGAACACACGTGGCAGTGTGATTTGCTGCCTTCCTCCCCATCACCTACATCTGGCATTTCTCCCCTTGCTATCTCTCCCCAGCTTCCCACCCCCCACCCTCCCTCCCCTATTTCCCCCCAACTGACCCCAGTGTGTAGTGCTCCCCTCCCTGTGTCCATGTGTTCTCATTGTTTAACACCTGCCTGTGAGTGAGAACATGTGGTGTTTGATCTTCTGCTCTTCTGTCAGTTTGCTGAGAATGATGGTTTCCAGGTTCATCCATGTCCCTACAAAGGACCCAAATTCATCATGTTTCTTTATTACCAGTTGTAAGGTTTGCACTCCCTCAAATACCGCCCATCTGACTACACACAGGTATATCTCATGCTTTGACTCAGACACTGTTAAATTCCTTTCACTTTTTTGGTCAGGTGGCTCTGTGTACTGGGAACTGGAAGAGTGGTTTTCTACGAAAGGATCATCGTCTTTCTACTACCATCAGGCTTCCTCCGCAGATGTAGAGATGACCTGTTATGGGCTGTTGGCCCTTCTTTCCAAGCCACGGCTAACTTCAGAAGAACTTTCCTATGCCTCTCAGATTGTACGCTGGGTGGCAAAGCAGCAAAACTCCCGTGGAGGTTTCTCTTCCACAAAGGTAACTCTATATCTTTTTTAAATTTATAAGTACAAGAAAATTGAGCACCTGCTTTGCATTGGTGGTATTGGTCTTTAAATTTATATATTGCATTTGTGGAATTAAATGAGCTGATTGTCATAATTAAACTTGCTATCATCTTTCAATTTGCTGTCTTTTAGGTTTTTTACAGATGTAGCATTTTTATCTAGTAATCTCTAAATACTTATTCAAAGATACTTTAATTTTTAAAATAAAAACTTAAGTAATAACCTGCTAAATGTTCTATGTAAAATTAGCTACAATTTTATCAGAAAAGGTGCATCAATTTGCATTATCATCTGCAGTGTGTGAGTACCGTTCATTATATAATTTCAAAATCATTTCACAATAAAAGTAATAATTTATTCTGTATAAAAATAAATTTCATTGTTTTCTACTTAGATAGATATGCTTTCATTTTTTGAAGATCTCTTTTATTTCATGTGTTATAAATTTCCTGGTCATATGATTTGTGCATTTCCTGATAGGGATATTAATCTTTTCCTTATGTATATGACTTTTGAATATAGTAAATTTATACTTGTCAATTTTTTATTTTTCTTCCAATTTTTATCATGCTTTAAATATATAGATTATTTTCATTTTCAGTCCATGTAATTATTCTACTGAGGATTCTCACTTTAAAACTAAGTGTAATACTCAACACACAAAAAATTATATAAATATTAACCAGACTTTTCTGTACTATGAATTCACTGTATTTCGATTACTAATTCATTTTATAGGATATATTTTGACTTTACAGGATATACTTTTATGAGATGTAATTTCATAGGGTGTGTTTTGATAGATTTACAGTAGAGACCTAACTTGAAATGGCGAGCTAGTTGTCTCAATGTCATTTATGTAATAATTAATTATCCCAATGATTTGAAATGCTACTGTTATTGAAATATAAAGTCATATATATTTTGTCATCTTTTTAGTCTTGCTGTTCTTTCCATTGATGTTTTAGCCTTGTTGTATGTTTTAATACCAGGTAAAACAAAGCCTGATTTGGTAGGCATTTAAAAAAACTTATTAGCACTTCGTACATTTTTATTCTATTAAATGATGTTTTGTCTGTGTTAAATAATTGAATAGAAATATTGCCACAAACCACATTTGTTATACAGCACCCAAGACAGCATAGTTAACAAATAAAGCAAAATGCATGGAAAAAATATAATGGCATTTTAAATTATTTTTAAATGAATCACAGCTGTATTTGACTGATTGCTAAGCCCTATGGTATGCTTTAATACCATCTGCCATTTTTTTTTTAGGATACCATTGTGGCTCTCCAAGCTCTGACTCTATTCCAGAGGCTCACTTTCTCCAAGAGTAGACAAAATTCAGTGCAGATTTTCTCTGACCAAGCATTCAATACAGCCTTCCAAGTGAATGATAAAAATCGTTTGTTGCTACAACAAATTCTATTGCCAACAACTAAGGGAAAGTATATGGTGGAAGTGAGCGGCAATGGCTGTGTTTATGTGCAGGTAACTTGGGGCTTGTTTACCCTTATCAAAAATTATAATCTAAGTGAAACTAGAAAGAATAGTATATTGAATAGATTCAATGCTTTGTTCACATTTGGTCATTTTTGCTTCACCTTGTTTTGTTGAATTGTAAAGTAAATTAGAGATATCACGCCACTCCTAAATATGTTATATATGCTTCTCTTTAAAAAAAAAAAAAAAAAAAAGGATATACCATTACATAACTGCAATGATGTTATCAGAGTAAACACAAATTAACAATAGCCTGGCCAGGTACAGTGGCTCACGCCTGTAATCCCAGCACTTTGAGAGACTGAGGCAGGCTGATCACTTGAGGTCAGGAGTTTGAGACCACCCTGGCCAACATGGTGAAACCCCATCTCTACTAAAAATACAAAATTTAGCTGGGCTTGGTGATACATGCCTGTAATCTCAGCTACTCGGGAGGCTGAGGCAGGGGAATTGCTTGAACCGGGGAGACAGAGGTTGCAGTGAGCTGAGATGGTGCTGCTGCACTCCAGCCTGGGCAACAGAGTGAGAGTCTATCTCTAAATAAATAAATAAATAACAGTAGTTTGTATTATGATATGATTTAATTATCAAACCTCTATCCTCAAATATACTTTACGGTTTTCAAGCCAGGATTTAATCAAGGACCATATTTTGCAGTTATTTGTTATGGTTCTCAAGTCCCTTTTAACCTAACAGATCTATCAAGTTTTTTGTATTTTTTGTGACATTAATTTTTTGAAGAGATCAGGCGAGTTGTAGTATAGAATTTCTGTAATTCTGACTTTATCAGATTGTTCTCCATCAAATTTGGTGCCTCATTCTGTGTCTTCTGTAACTAAAAGTTAGATCTCTATATATACTATATCACATCCAGAGGCACATCATGATTAGTGATGTTAAGTTTGATCCCTGGGTTAAAGGTGGTGATAGCCATACTTCCCCATTAATGTTGCTTCTTTTTTCTTCTTTGCACCAGCAATTAACATTTAAAATATTACATTGAGATCATGCAAATGTTGAGTTCATCATCAATTTTTACCTAAAAGGCTTAACATGCATTGATGATCTTTACCTGATCAACCATTTCATTAAGAATTACAAAGTGGTGATTTTCTAATCCTATCACACCTTCTACCTTTATTAGCTGGCATTTCCATACTGTGTAGTCCAATATACCAGAGTATACTCAATATGTCAAATGTTTCTGGACAGTTGCAGTAGATCCCTTCTTTGATTAGTATATATAGAATTGAAATTAATAATGTGAATATATTACTTCATACTTGAACAGGTATATCTTCTGGAAGTATTTCTTGAAGTGGGATTATTAGGTCAAGTTAAGTCTTTAACCAAGCCTATTATCAAATCATATTATTTTAGATTTAGATTCTATAATTTCTCTTTTAACTTATTCATTGTATTCATGATATTTACATTGATTCCTGAAGTTCTGACATTATAGTAATTTTATCAGTTGCTTAAGGCTGAAATCAGATTATTGAAATTATTATCCAAACATAGCATAGATATATTCTAACTCTGCTACTCAATTGCTGTATAAATTTGGACCAGTTACTCATCTCTCTGTCCCTCATTCCCCTCATCTATAAAATGGATGTTAAAAATAATGTCTACCTCAAGGGGTTGTTGGAAACATTATATAAAAAGCATTTAAAAGTAATTACAGAGTATATGTTCAATATGTCAACTAAAGTTACTAGTGTTACTAATTGTATAGAAAAAAAAGAAGCAGAGAGGTAAAAATTAACTTTCAAGTTGAAATGTTAATGTGGAGGTAATAAGTTTAAAGTGAATCCTTTAGTTAATAAATAACATATTCTATATTTATTCAAGCCTACTCTGAGATATAACATCCTGCTCCCTAAGAAGTCATCTGGATTTTCCCTTTCTGTGTATACAGCCAATGTTTTCTGCAGAGGATTATTTGATGCAAAATTTGACCTTGTTGTTTCAGCCAGGTAACTACTCTTTTTTAGGTAATCACAGATATCCCTCTTCCTCTAATTCAGGTAGCCTAGGGTCTTTCTCTGCCTCAGAGTGAAACCACATCCCAATTATTGTATGGGAAGGATTGTCCTGTCTTGATCCTCTTGGAAAATATATTGTATCTTGTTTAAATTGCCTAAATTTTATAAGATTATAGTAGGTGCAAAAATAAATCTGGCTTTGTAAAAATATGGAAGAGAAGGAAGTTGGAAGGGAAAAAAGCTCTATAAATTCCTCCTCAAGAGGTACATTTTCTTAGTTTCTAGTTTGCAAATCAACATATTGAAATCTCTTAAATTTTGAAACATCAAATTCTAAAATAAGACTATCAGACCTGGGTTGAATTCTCTGGGTCCACTTAGGAATGAATTAAGATGTATGTTGTGTCATTTCTGAGCACCACTCACTTCAGTTTATAATTAGATTATTCCGATCTCAGAACAATAACCTCTATAAAGGGTATGATAAAATAAACTTTTTTGCATGAAAATTTGTTTTATTTTTAATTTGTTTTCCTAAGTAATGATCAAAGTGTATCTGAATTTTAAATTTTGTGCTTTTAAAAAAATAAAGTTATTACGGAAAGCGCAACTCTTCCAACATGGCAATCATTGATGTGAAGATGCTTTCAGGATTTGTCCCCGACAGACCGTCAGTTAAGAAGGTAAAGATTTAAATGTTGTCAACTGAAATAACTTCAGAATGGATGAAATGTGTTGGGGCCTTTTCTACGCTAGACATTGGCCACAAGTTTATTTTTAAAAAAGGAATACATTTTCTATTCTTAAGGAGTAAATTCGAATCTTATGTGTGTCTAAAAGTAAAATGATGAGTTTCTCAAAATAATTTATATTCTTATATTGTCCAAACAGTGAATCATTAAAAAACAGGTAGATGAGTTAGTGTTTAGTTATTATTATATTCATTCTGTTATTCTATTTATTTAAAATTAGAAACTAATATTATACAGACAGATACCTCAAAAATGTTGAATGAATAAATCTCCAAAATTAATGTTTGTTGTTGAAGCTTTATAGAAACATTGCAAGTTTTATAAAGATACAGGAAGACTACCAAGTTGAAATCAAGTATTTCATCTTTGGATAACTAGATGTTTGTATTCCAAATTCCCTGAATTTTCAGCACTCTTTTCTTTCTTATTTTTAGCTTCAGGAAGATGGCAAAGTACAGCGAGTAGAAATCAAAACCACCCATGTCTTTTTCTACCTGGAGAATGTAAGTTTACTGTCATAACTTAGTTTGTGCGTTGATGTATATGCTTGATGCACAAAGTGGTTTTACTTTTGTCTTTGTTTTTGATGTTTAAAAAAGCTTTCCTAAGGGCTTAAGTATCAAATTAGTGTTGCTAAAATAATTCTGAATATTTGAAATGGAGAGAAATTGAGGGAATACATCTCAATATGCATAACAATGTTAATTTATTCTCAGGTTACTCAAAAAGAAATTCAGTTCTCATTCTCTGTCAAACAAGATGCACTCGTATCCAACATCAAGCCAGCATCTGTTCAGCTCTATGATTATTATGAAACCGGTAAGAATTGTATTTAGTAATTGCGATTTTTATCATTAAGTAATTGTGGGTTTTGCCATTACATTCAAGTAAAAAACCACAATTACTTTTGCACCAACCTACATAGTTAAACCAATCTTCATTCTCTCTACTGGTGTTATAGTCCCTATTTTTGAAATCTTTTTCTCTTATTTGATGTTTTGTAACTTTTCATACTACCTAATACAAAAAGCATCAGAATTTCAAGAGCAAAATTTGAGGTTCTTTCTATCTATGTGGACACCACCGGCATGATTTTTCTCAAGGAGTCTTTTCACTAAAATATTCATTAAAATTATTGGAAAATAAATGTGAAGTAGGCTATCTGGCTGAATATAGATTTAGGCAAAAGAAAGTTAATGGCTATGAAGGTGTGAATTACAGGATATAGAAATTATATGTTTATTTGAATAAAGAAAGAGACATATACTATTAGAGATGACAGAGATATGTTAGTGAAAATATTCTTATGAAATATATTTTTAAAGCCACAGCCATTTATTATGCCTCACAGTTCTATGGATCAGCCAAGCCCTTTGGTTTAGGCTGACTGATTGGGCTGATTCAGCTGTTCCCTCTTTGAATTGTACCTATAATTCACCTGGTGCGTTGGCCAGCTGGATGATCTAGGAGGCCTCATTCCTATGTCTAGCATTGGACTGGCTCTTGATTGGGGGCTGGCTGATTGCCAGCTGAATCAACTTATTCTTGCCTCTCATCCTTCAACAGGCTCGTCTGGGCATCCATCTATTTATCTAGTTAGCTATCACCTATCTATATATTGCTCAGCACAGTGAGATTTTTAAATAAAAAAAATTATAATCAGAGCTACTTGGTCAGGTAACTTTGGGTTTCTGGTTGTTTTTTTTTTTCAACCAAGTTCTTATTGTGTTGTTATTGTTTCAACCAAGACTCAGGAAGGTAAATTCTTATTGATAACACCAAACAAGTAAGTAGAAGAATAAGATCTCTAAATGAAGTCTTCTGTTTCAAAATTGAAGCTTATCTGAACACGGTACTTTTCTTAGATAAAAATTATGTCTATGAATACATTAAAATATAGGTCTAATAAGTTTACCAATTAAAAAATTAAAAGGACAAGTTAATTATTTTCAAGTCAGATTACCTCAGCCAATAAATGACTCATAGACTTTTAGAGAAAAAAAAAAACCTGTTTTATACATACTCTCCTGATAAATAGCCAAAAAAAAAGGGAGTGAGTCAATAGTGATACAAACTATTAAGTGTTTAGTGTAAACCAACAGTGATTTACAAACTTTGAGTGCCTTCATATTTATTAAGTACATCTTTACTTCTTTCCAAAACCTGGATGATTGAACTAAGGCTTCACTATCCCTCCAGCTTATAGACATTTTATTCTAGAAGAGAAAGCCCTAACCTCTGTTAAGTTTTAATATGTATCATATACAAAACATCATACCTGAAACTCTTAAGAATAATCATATAGGCATGGATGCAATGTGATGTAATTCAGAAAAATAAAAATACAGTGTATTTGGAAGTCGTTAAGTAAAGAAACTGTTATAGTAGCATAGATTTAGGGGAATAAACATATAAGAAATAAAGATATTTTCTTCTTGAACAATGTTGTAAACCTTTCTAATAATTACTGTCTTTCAGATGAATTTGCACTTACAGAATATAGCACACCCTGTGGTCAGATGTCTTTTGAAACCTCATTCTAGGATAAGAAACATGAGCTGTAAAAGAAGATACTTGGTAACTGGGCTATATGTCAAGTTCGTTCCTGGAAGCATTAAGCCTGCCCTTCCCAAAATCTTCAACCGGCGGAGACCAGGGCCAGTAGACAAATGCTCCAGCCTCTGCCTTTAAGTCAAGAATAGTGGGAGGGGTTCCAAATGCTTCTTATGAAGTCCCCTTGAAACCCATCTCCCAGATTTTCAGGAAGCAGCCTCATCAACAAATCCGTAAATTAGCTCTTTTCCATTTTTGTCTCAGTCTCCCTGCTCTCTCACTCATGTTTCCTGGGATCCCCTCTGAAATGAAATGAATTATCTGCATCCAAGCCCTAGCCTCAAATTCTACCTTCAGGACAACCCAAGCAGAGAATGCCTATCCCGTCAATCACTGAATGACTAAAGAAAATATTTTGTTAGATAAGGAGTATTCCAGTGTGTTGATACTTTAGTTGTTGTACGTGTTTCTGAATAATTTCTCTGGGAACTGTGAAAAAGCAAGAACTCATGTTATATAAATGTAAACATGTTTATTTTCCTTGGCAACTATTGTTGAGTAAAACCTGACCAGAATTCATGGTTGTTTATTTTTCCAGTAAGAACCTATGTATTTTTAACTTCCATTTTAAAACTGTATTTTCTCTTTCCAGGTAAGTTTAGCATGAAACAAATACACCCCTGATCTCCTCCCCAAGCCAATCACTTAGAGTATCATTTCTGAAGATATATTTGTAGAGTTTTCTTGACAATAACATATTATACACTTGATTTAATTATAAGATCAAATATTCATTAGTATGTTATTAAACAGATATATTTTAGAAAATTATTTTTGTACATGTACCTAAAGTGTTTACTTATATGTAATTGTTAAAATAAAAGAATAAATGTATGTTGTTGTGAGCCACAAAGTATGAGATAATTTGTTATTGCAGCAATAGAAAACTAATGCTCTATCTCATAAATATCTCAAACATAACGAACTTAAACATTTCAAACGTCATTGTCATTCCTAGCTGCTCCCTATCACAGTCAATCTCACTCCATACCTGGTCACCCAGTCATCTCATTAATGGAGTTGCATCCACCAGAATCCTGTGGTGCAGGTCCCAGACGTGTGTATTATGCTTATTTCTCCCTGGCTCGCAGACTTGACATTCATCAGTAATACCTATCTTTTATACTTCCAAAATCAATGTTCTAAAACAGAGCTTTAAAACTTTCTTTTCGTTTGCTTAGATCTCTTCTTCAGCAGCTTTCCATTGTACATCAAATAGCGATGAAGACTTTACCATCGTGTACAAGGTTTTAAATGGAATAGCCCCTGTTTATCTGTCAAATATTATTTTATTCCACTTTCCCACTAAATCTCAGTGACTTCTTTCAGTTCTGGCTGTATTCAAGTATTCAAACCATACAATATCTAGAAAAGGCAAAACTATGGAGACAGTAAAAAGATCAATGGTTGCCAGGGGTTGTAAGGAGGGAAAGATAATTTGGTGAAACACAAAAGGTTTTAGGGCAGTGAAACTACGCTGCATGACACTATAATGTATGTTAGATACATGTCATCATACATTTGCCAAAACTCATAGAATGTACAACACCAAGAGTGAACCTGAATATGAACTATGGCCTTTGGTGACAACGGTGTGTTAAGTAACTTCATCAACTGTTAACAAATGGACCGCTCTGGTGCAGAATATTGATAGTGGGGAACCTGTCCATATGGGAACAGAGGGTGCGCATGAGAGCTCTCTCACTTTCTGCTCAATTTTTCTATGAAACTAAAACTACTCTAAAAATAAAATATATTTTAAAAAGATATTAAGGGTATCTTCATTATTGCTGCAGTAATGGAGATTTTAAAACCCAACCCCAACCTCAGTGGCTTCCAACAATAAGTATTTATTTCTCCCTCTTATCGATCTGTGGATCAGATGTGGCTACATTGGGCTTATTTGGACTTAGCTAACCTTGTGCCCAGAATGATGATTGGTTTTAAGTCTGATCCATGTACCCGTCATCGCATGGCAAAGAACCACTACAAAGGCCCTGAGTACAGAGCCTTGACTTGTTCTGTGTAAGAGATTCGTAAATATGTCAGTCATTAAGTAGCAGGCATGCGTATCATAGAGGAATGCTAATTAAATAAGTTTTAACCATTTTTGTTGTTGTTATAAAGAGCGCCCGTAGCTCCCGAATCAATTTCTAAAAATTGTGCCTTCCCAAACATTTGTTCTTTGGTCAGCTTTTTAATGTATTTTTTCCTTAATCCTCATTGGCATCACCATGGACCTATGCATGATTTTTCAATAAAATAAAAGAAGAGGTGATTCCAAAGAATAAACCATGTTATAGAAAATTTTACTACAAAAAGTATGATTGAATATATTTCCAAGCATTGATATGCTACTTCATCAAATGGGATTGGCAATCCCATTTGTCAGTTAAGCAAAAAAGCATCCATTATTGCAGGGTGTAAGGACAAATAAAAATTTTAAATGGTTTTAATTCTCTGTTGAAAATAAAGGAAGAGACCAATCTTCCCTCCCCTTTTTAAATTTCCTGAGAAAACTTGTTACTTTAAGTCTTTTCTCCTCTTTGAAATGTATACAAACCTTTTTGAACACTGGGTAGGATTTTCGTCAGCATTATGAAGAATGTGGGAACTATTTCTTTGAAACATCAACATCAAAGGAGATTGCATCCCTATCTGCGATTTCTGCAGAAGGGTAGGAGGCCAACTTCCATGGGCATCTTGCTCCAAGTTAAACTACCTCTTATCATGAAGATAAGAGGAGTTTATTTTTCATTTAGATAAATCCCATTAACACACACGATCGCCCCCATAACCACATGAATCTAGGACGAATTATGTGTGATAAATGGTGCAGTCAAATCCCCATAATTGAAGGCTAGAGTTTATGTTAAGAACATGTATGTAATGGGCTGCATCAGCTCAGCAATACAAAAGGCTGAGATATTTTTCTGTCTTTGCAAACTCTTAGCAGATTGCCTGTGACGCACATCACATTCTGGCTTAATGATTATTCAATAATAAAAGTGTTTTCCTTCTCCAATACCCTTATGGTGAGGACTTCTGGGTTGGTACCTTTTACTTTCATTTATATTTCCCCAACAAGGGACACCTGTAGAAATGAAGATGTCACATGTAATTTTTCAAGGTTACCTTTAGGTGTAAAAGAGAAAAAACATGGAAAAAGTAAGCAAACTAGGGAAAAGTGATTGAACAAATGGAGGAATTTGCCTCAAACTAGAATTGAAATAAAGCATATACTAGCGTGACGGTCCAAAAATACAGAGAAACACATTTCAAATTCCTATTTGTTTTAAATATCACTAATACTGAGTCAGGAAAAACAGACACCTGCCATTGCCCCCACTAGGGTTGATTTGTTTGAAGCACCCAATGTAAAGCCAGGCAATCAGGAAGTGGAAAAGAATTCCTTGGTTTCTGAGAGTGACTACGATGGAGGGTGTGAGTTGAGAACAGAGAGGATACTAAGGAAAACTTGCTTAGTGCTAGGAAAGAAAGAAGGCAACAGCCACTGGTGAGTCAGAGTCATCGCCCAAAATGGAAGCCATCTAGATGGCAGCAGAGAGGCCTCCATGGCAGAATTGCTCCCAACTTGGTGACACTAGGAAATAAAAGCTAGTGGTTCCAAATACTTGAAATTTCCCTAAGTTCTAATCTGGAGGATACACAAACAAGAACATTTTACAGTGATATAAAATGGACAATGGAGTCATACAATTTTGAAATTTAGTTAACATTACAGTAAATTAAATATCATTGAATGATGGGTGTTATTTATATTTTTATTAAGGTAATCTTACACCATAAAAAGAAGAAGAGATTTCTCAAAATGTTGCATGAAGTAATAATGGATGAAGTGAAGAGCTGCGTTTCTACTGTTTTTCCACAGTTGGGACCTGTAATCACTTTTCTCAGTACCTTTCTTTATTTCTTTGCAATGCTTATTTGGCTTAACAAGGAGCTGTGGCCCTTGGTTCGGACTGGCAGTGAAACTTTTAAGCCCACTGGCTTCACCTTATCCAGGTTTATTTTCTTCAAGAAAAGTGCATAGGGCGAGAAACTTGCTCTGATGGATGGGGTCACTGGCTTTCTGAGTCTCTGAGGTTGCATGGATCCTCTCTGCAGGCCACTGGCTCTCAGGGTCACCCCCATCTCCAGGGGCAGATCCTCTGGATTCCTCCTTCCATTCCTGTGTGCAGAGTTAGTATCCACCCAGAGACCTGTTGTTAGCTACCTCCTCCCTCCCCATTAGAAAAAAAGAAAAAGAAAGGCTGGGCACAGTGACTCATGTCTGTAATCCCAGCATTTTGGGAGGTCAGGAGTTCAAGACCGGTGTGACCAACATGGAGAAACCCGTCTCTGCTAAGAATACAAAAATTAGCCAGGTGTGGTGATACATGCCCCAAGTTGGGAGGTCCTTGGTAAAAGAAAAATCCTTAATACTATCTGTGGAGTCCTAACTGAGGAGAAAGAGGCTGGCAGGAGAACGAGACAGCAAAGAGGAAAAAGCCGATACGCTATGTGTCTGCCTTTCTTTTTGGCCCAGGACACGTAGCCCTCTTGCTCAACTAACTCACAACCTTACTGCGCCCAGCTATCACTACACCCTCAGCTAACAGAAAAATGCAGGTTAGCTCACTGCAGCACGGTGCAAAGCCCTCTTCAGCACACAGCACAGGCACCCGTATACAAAATCCCCAGCAATGCTTTTCAAGAAATAATAATAAACTAGAAGAATGTGAAAGAGAATGGCATTCTTTCTTTCTTACATTAAGTAACATTTTTAATGGTTTTGCAGAAGATGTGTGTGTGTGTGTATTCATCTATGTCACTAATAAAAGGGGAAGAAGGCCCTGTGATCTGCTGATAAAACCATATTATTGACTCTGTTATATGATCGCTTGCACAAAGACTGACTTCACATCATCCTTAGTTATTCCTAACTCATTCTTCTGGAAATATTATTGCTTCTTTCTCTATTAAATATGTACATACAACTCAATTTATCCATTGATCTTTTTATATACTTATTTTTTAAATTGTACTTTGGGCTCTAGGGTACATGTGCACATCCTGCTTCCTGCAGAATTGCTGCATAGGTACATACATGCCATGCTGGTTTGCTGTCTCCATCCTCCCACCCCCTGTTGCCTACATCAGGCATTTCTCTAGATGTTATCCCTCCCCCGCCTCCCCGCCCCCCACTGTCCCCCCCACCTCCTCCCCTCCACCCCCGCACCTAGCCCAGTGAATGTTGTTCCCTTCCCTGTGCCCAAGTGTTCTCATTGTTCGTCACCTGCCTATGAGTGTTTGGTTTTCTGTTCTTGTGTCAGTTTGCAGAGAATGATGACTCCTAGATTCATCCATGTCTCTACAAAGGATACAAACTCATCATTTTTTATGGCTGCATAGTATTCCATGGTGTATATGTGCCACATTTTCTTTGTCCAGTCTGTCATTGATGGGCATTTGGGTTGGTTCCAGGTCTTTGCTATCGTAAACAGCACCGCAGTGAACATACCTGTGCATATGTCTTTATGATAGAATGATTTATAATCCTTTGGGTATATACCCAGTAATGGGATTGCTGGGTCAAATGATATACTTTTAAGAGAGAAAAAACAAGTGTTATGTCCCATGGTGGCATAATGCTTTCATTTATTTATCCAACAAACAATTATAGAATGCCTGTTATTAGTGGATATACTTCTCAATAACAAGAAACAGTGAAAAACAAGACATCTCTGCTTTATATTTTAGAGAGGAGAGACAGGCAATAAACAAGAAACATAAGTAAGTTCATTATGTAATATGTCAGAAAATGACAAGTGTTATCTTTTGAAAGGCACAGCAAGGAAAATCAAGAGTACCACAAGATTGGGAGTTAGACTTTGCAATTTTAAATGCTGTGATCAGGGCAGACCTCATTGAGAAGCTGATAGATGAGCAAAGGTTTAAGGTGGTGAAGAAGTTAGCTAACAGAACATCTGCAGAAGAACAATACAGGAGAAGCTAATAAAAGATGCGAAGGCTTCAAGTCAAGTAGAAAGATTCTCAACTGCTAAAGAAAAGCAAGAAGTTTCGTATGGCTGAGGCATCAAAGGTAGAAGAGTCAGCAGGTTGGGGTTGTGGTAACTGGGCATCCCAGGTGTGGAACATCTCATTATCCTGAGCAAAACTACAATTGCTGACTCTCTAAGAAGAAGAAAGACTAGTCTGGAATGACAGAATGAACACCCCTGTGTTTCTGTAAGTGGAATTATATGATTTGCGATGTGTTTGTGTATCCGTGTGTGTGGGGAATCTTATGCTCAGTTCTATATTCATGGGATTCGTTGACATTGATGCAAGTGACATTATTCCATTTTATTGAAAAACACTATATAGTTTTAATTGTATGAATATACCACAATTTACATATCCTGTTGTTGGACATTTGAGTTGTTTTCAATTTAGAGCCATTACAAATAATGCAACTACAGATGTTCTTATACGGGACTTTTTGCACATTTGCTGTCACTGTCCTTGGTATTTATGTAATGGTAAAAATTGCGGCAGAGGTCATGCAGATGGTGATTTCTAGTAGATAACGATGATTCATTTTCACAATTGGATGAGAAGTTCGATTGCTCCACATGCTCACTAAAACTTGGCATTATGAATCTTCACTTTAACCATTTTTTAGGATATGTAGAGTATTTCATTGTGGTATTAATTTGCATTTTGCTGGAGACCAAGTACTTTTCATATATTTGTTAGCTATTTGGGTATTCTTTTGTGTAAGATGCTAGGTCTTTTTCTAATTTATTTCTGGAAGTCTTCAATATATTCTAGGTATAAGCACTTGTCAATTATATGTACAGAAAATATCATTTTCTTCTCTGCGATTTTTCCTTTCACTCTCCTAATAATGTTTTTAATGAATCAAAAATTTAATTTTAATATAATAAAGAAGACTGGGCTGGTAGAAGATTATTTTGCCACGAGGGCAGTTTTGAATAATGTGTATAGAAGGAGGAGCTACTGAAATATTGACTAAAGCAGTCAGGTGGAGTTACAGCTCAGCCGACAAGCCCTCTGGCCTGATCTCTGAATATTAGTATAGTGTCATATTCAGTGTGAGTCTTTCTTATAAGATGAAAAGTACACTCATCATTTTTTTATCATTTGTTCTGCCTCTCAGGATCCATGCAGGGAAATACGTGAAGGATGGAAACATGGTCAGCAATCTCCTGATTTTTCCAGCCTGCTCTCTGCCAGGCCAAGTATTCACAAGAAGAGAAAACATACAGGATTAACCAGCATATTATCATGGCAGATAAATTTTACAACCAAGAATCCTGCTTTTTTTTGTTGTTTGTTGAAAGTATTGCTACTTACATTCCAAATGTGCTAATGTAAGCATTAATTTCATTCCACATA